CGAGGGACATTATTCTGTTTCGTTAAGCCCTTTACGACCTCTAATTTCTTAGGGGATAAGCTCACCCACAGTCATGAAGATTGTCCCAAATGTAATGCTATACTATTCCCACCCTATCACACTTTGCTGTAACAATCCAATGAACAACCATATTCTCAACTTTTATTTTCATCCATTTATGTATGATTTTATAAAACTCAGAATGCTTCACAATGAAACCTAAATACAGAAAGCAGTGCAAAGTGGCAATAATTCTCATTCAAAGCTATTTAATTATATGCCTAACCCCTAAAAATCCCCTATGATTCAATATGCACCATACCTGTGCATATAAATACACAGTAAAATACCTGTGCATGTGTGTTTACCAAGCAAACAAGCATACGTGCAAACTCAAACATACTCCTCAGTGCCCCAAATCCTACTGCAGATTGCTCCAGTGAAGAGGAGGTAGAAACTGCCTCATCCCAGCTAAATTAAGGAGCAGTACAGGGACTGGGTGAGGTAAAAGCTGCCCTACATTGTAGCTTAAGACTACTGCCATGGAGAGCAGGCTTTAATCATGTCCCAGCACAGAAATTCCCCAGAGAAAGTGGCTGAGAGGTGCCTGATGCTTGAGGATGGTGCTTTTGATGGCAGTGGGGGTTTTCAGCAGCAATATTGATGGTGGGGTACACACATGGGAAATGCAAACATGGCTATGGATGTCCCCATGTGGGTCAAGCAGATAGGTGGTATTATGGGGGCTTTAACCTTAGATTGCAGGTTATTGATCTAAACATCGATAGTCATGAAGTACAGGTGGCTACCAATCTGTATGGCTTTAAACAAGGGATTGGACAGATTCATGGAGGAGGAGGAGGAGGAGGAGGAGGAGGAGGAGGAGGCAGCTATCGGTGGCTATTAGCCTTGTTGGCTGTGTGCTTCCTCCTTTACCAGTGGCAGCATGCCTGCATATACCAGTTGTTGAGAAACTCGGGCGAGCAGAGGTTTTGCAGCCATCCTGCTGGAGGGATCCTGTGGGCAGCTGGTCTGCCATCACGTGTATGGAATACTAGATTAGATGGACCTTTGGTCTGATCCAACAGGGCTTTTCTTATGTTGTTAGAACAGAACAGACTACCATTGTTTCTTTGTACACTAAAAATGCCTTTGAGAAAATGCGTTAGAACTTTATCTTTGCTATGTTGAGTAATTTTGGCTTTCTTGTGGAATTAAAAAAAAAGTATTGTGATATTATATTTAACCCCAAGAGCTGGAGTTATGTCCAATTATCTTTTCTCAGCCATGGATAGTAGTCTCTTTTCACTTGGGAGAGATACTAGGCACAGCTGTCCATTTTTCCCATTGATATCTAAGTTTGGAACCCCTGGATTGTGCTATTGGACAGAAGGACAGTATTCATTTGTGCATGATTGTTTAGAATGTAAAACCATTATTTATGATGATGATCTTTTATTGCTTATCTTGAAACCAAACATCTATTGCAGTTTTGATGCAATTGACCAGTACTTACGTAAGACCTGTTGGGCTATTCAGTTAATTGGCCAAAGTATGGACTGATGCTGCTTGGAAATATTGTATTTTATACTGGATTAGCTAACTGGCCATTTCAGTGGTCCTGTGGTTTGAATATGTTGATTAAAGAGATATTACTGAACATCTTTGAACATGAGTTTGAAAATGAGATATACGAACATCTTTGAAAATGAGTTTGTATAGTGCATGCACTTAAGATGAATATTATACCTTAAGTTATTTATGTTATACATGGGATTTCTTTTTCTATGCCTGGCAAATATTTTCAAAAATGTGGTGCACTATTTTGTAAATTAGGGGGTCCTCACTACAGATTTCTTTGAAAAGGATATAACTTTTGGATCGAACTTCCAGTTTTAAAAGGTGGGTTTGACTTTTCAGATCTTTTGTTATATAATTGGGTCTATTTGTTGACATCTACTAAATTTTTGTTTTTTCCACTTAGATTAGATTTTTCACCTTGGTCAATTTAAGGATCTTCTTGTTTTGATCCTCTCTCAAAATGCATTTGGTGCTAGGTTCTAGACACATTAAAATGAACAGGCTCCTCCCCCAGTTATGGCCAGTTAGATGTCATCTCAATTACATTTTAATGCATTTTTCATACTGAATTGATTCTATGTAACATTAAACTGTGGTTAGTCGAAAAACGGAAGTGAACTTAAAACTCCTTTCAGACATGTTGCAAGGGGCACATGAACAAACTCAGGACTTACAAAGGCTCTAAATGATGGATTAACCATATGTACAAACATGGATTGTATGCATATTTCAGAAGAACCCCTGAGTGAAGAAATGGAAATCCTTACACAGTTGATTTCTGGAGCTTACTGTTTCATGATGTGTAACCACAGTAGCAGAGTTGCATTAACATAAGGCTAGGCAGTTGGATGGGATTCACAGAACATAGGCAATGCTTATTAATTCTGTTTATTGATGGCATTGTCAAAGGTGTCCTGAAATTTTTTTACTCTAAGAAGCTAGAAATGATTGACAGAGACTGGTCCGTTCCTTGAGGGCCTCTGTTGCCATCTGAGTAATGAAACTTGCTTCATGAAATTGGTATGACCTGTGAGTAACGCAGAGCCTTTCCCTTGTTAGTCTGTTGGAGGGCTTGTTTTTTTTTTTCTGTTTTTTACCTAAGGGTACTTCTAGTTTGGCAGTGACCTCAGTTTCAGGATGCAATCTAAGGCTTCCTTGAGACAGCAGGATGGTTCATTGCAGAAGAATCAAAGAGCTTCACTTTCCATCACTCCCTCATCTCCCCCAGTCTTTTTTCTCAGGTTTATTTAAAGAATGTTTGCCCCCAGAAATAGGACAGCAAGGTGTAATTAACCCAGAGCTCCTATGTCCTGGAAAAGTGGTAAGAGGAGGAGGCAGGTGCTGGAGAACTATATGAACAATCATGCTAATGATGCGGAAGACATTGTGTTTTCAGCTGTGTGTGGGTTGAGTGATGGCAGATTTAGTGCATAGTAGGCAGAAAATAGATCCTTAGAGCATTTGGAGTTCAGCCTGCAGCATTCCTTATCATTTGCCATGCTGGCAGGGATTTCTAAGAGCTGAAGACCAAAATATCTGTCTTCTGATGACCCCTCACCTAGAATATACCTTTTGCTCAAGAGGGACTGTTGCCAATGACACATGTGGTCACAAGTACGCATGTGCTGATGGAAAATAATCCATCTGCACAAAAATAAGTGGCTGACTGTGCACCGAAGAGTCCTATCAAATACACAGGAAGTCTAATATGCTCAATACTGATCAGCTTCTGTATTGTTTTCTAGCTCTCCAGTTCTGGCTTGGATGCTCAGGTGCACAGGCATGCTTGATTTTTTCTGCCCAAATCATCAGGTTGAAGTGTCTGGAATGACTGGTGGTGCTTACCAAAGGGCTAATCAAATTGTTCATTTTATCACTGTGCTGGTATCTGCTGTGGGCAGCCTTGATGCTGGGACATCTTGCATTTTTATTTCCTGATGTAAGAGACATTCTGCCATGTAGTAGCAGACAGAAACACATACAGGCTCAGAGCTTAAGAAAACCACCAAATCTACATTTAAATGAATCCAGCAGTTGGATAGCTCCCTGTCCACACAAACAGCCTGTGCAACAAGTGCATGAACTCAGTGCATTCTGGGCAGGGTCCTTGATGCATACCTTGTGGTTTGGGTCAGTCTCTCAGATCTTGCTGATGAGCAGGGTGGGACAGGCCATCTAGGACCCTCCTGATGCTTTTGATTGCAGTCCCCAGCATCACTGACCATTGGCCATGCTAGCTGGTACTTATGGAAACTGATGTTAAAAACATGGGAGTGGCACCAGTTTAGCTCTTCTTTTTTATGGATCTGGGAAGATCTGGAGGCACAAAGGACATTGATATTAAGTAATGAGAACCATAATGCCTACTGAATGGCCAACTGTTTTCTGGAGAGCACAACAGGATCCTAGGACAATTTTCCATGATTTCAAGGAATTTATATTGTCTTCTGGGGAATATTGGCCTGCACATAAAACAAGGATGGGAAAGTTCTGATCTTTGGGCTTTATTTGGCCTGCAGAATTCCTAGTTTGGCTTCTGGAGTGCTGGGCATTCTCAAGCTTTCCCTCTTGGTTGGAAGTTATCAGCAACTTGGGCAGGAGGTAGGACAGAGTGTATGGTCAATGTAAAACTGAAGCATGTAATCAGGGCACATAAGATTGTTTTCATTTGCCAAGCACAAGTTATTGTGCTACATGCTATCAGTTTGCTGAGGAGTGAGAGGGTGGGAACTTTTCTTGACTGCTTGGATAAGAAGCCAATCTCTATGCTTCATCTTTTGAAAAGCCATAGATCTCCCAGAGACAAATAAGAATGTTTTGCCTTGGAATCCTAAAAATGAGATTCAAGCAAAGCATGAGAAATAGATATGCATATATGAGATAATTGATACCTTCTTCCAGCCATCCCACATGGGAGACTCAGGATGACTTTATAATCAACACCATCATAAAATATACCATAAAACCATACATCAGTGTGAGAACAGGAATAAAAACAATAGTCCAAACTAATCAAACTGAATCTCAGATCAATTAAAGTATGGGCATTTTAATAAACTTTGCATTGAGGTAACATCTAACACCAATGCATCACCTGCCAGATTTTATGAGCTCCACAGACTGGGCACCACTGAGATGAAGGCTCTGGCTTGATAGTTTGGAAGCCAAAGGTTGGGTAGGGAGGGATATTGTGCTGAAAGGATCCTTACAGTCCTTTGGCTTCAATCCTTCGTAAATTTACTTTGGAGTATGACTCTGTGTGGCTTCCAAGTACAAATACATGGGATTGGTGTGTGGAAATTAGGGAAGCAGATGACGCAAGAAGGGAGATGGTGCTGCCAGGCAGAGCATTTCACACAAGCATATCTTGGTGCTTCTAGCTAACCCTTTCCCTCTTTGTTCTTTCCCCTTTGCCTCAGGGGAAGCCTTATGTCTTTGACCGTGTGTTCCCACCCAACACCACCCAGGAGCAAGTTTATCATGCCTGTGCCATGCAGATTGTCAAAGGTCAGTCTGGATTTTGGTAAAATGGGTGGGACTGGGCAATAAGTCTGGGCGGGCAGCCAGTGGCACACAGCATACATGGATGCATCTCCTTCAGTGAAGGTTGCTGGCTCCAATGTCAGTGGAGTGTTGTAACCACTTTGGGCAGCAGCCTGACCTTTACAGGATCTGTTCATGGTGCTGAACCGCACTCTGTCACCACCACCACCACCACCACCACTCCAACATGGTGGGTTCAGAACCACGGATAGTTCCTTAGCAGTTCCGATTCTGGCTCAGGATACAGACACTGCCTCACTGACATTCACACCACCAACCTCTACTTTTTCATTTTCTTACTCACCTGCCTTTCCCTTGCAGATGTGCTGGCTGGATACAATGGCACCATTTTTGCCTATGGGCAGACATCCTCGGGAAAGACACACACCATGGAGGTAAAGGGGTGTCTAATATTTTCAAAATCTGAGCTGTGGCCAGGGGGCATGGACTCAGTTGCTGCAGCTGAGATGGGGATTGTCTCCAGAAACAAAGCTTAGCTGGAAAATGTTTAAAGGAAGGGGCTTTCTTAAGATTCATTGCTTGTACTTTTGTTTCACTACAGGGCAAGCTGCATGATCCTCAGCTTATGGGTATCATCCCACGGATTGCCCAAGACATCTTCAACCACATCTACTCCATGGATGAGAACCTGGAATTCCACATTAAGGTCAGAGGGGTCTAGAATATGTCAACAACTAGAGATATTTGTGGTTAGAACAAAGGAGACATATTTGCAAATAGCAATGAGAAGGAGGAATAAAAAGGGGAAAGGAGATGGTTGGGAACCTGAATGGGGATCAGGTAACTCAGGTTCAAGGGATGGCAAGTACTTTTGTTAGTATGCAGTCGTCAGTCTAGAAGGAGATGTTGATACCTTTTCGTGGCATCCAGCCACTTAGCAAGTACAGGTGATCTAAGAGCTTTAGAGTAGGGCTAGGTCTCCAAATGTTTTGAACTTCAGCTCCCAGCATTCCTCCTGGCCATTGGCCATTCTGGCAGAGGCTTTTTGGACTTGAAGTCCCAAACACTTGAAGATCTACTTTCTGCCCACCCATGCTTTCTAAGAAGCCTAGACTGGGCTATAGCACCTGCTTTGTATGTAGGAGGTCCTGGATTCAGTCCCTGGCATCTCCCACTTTTAAAATATTGGGGAGCAAATGCTGGGAAAGACCTCTTGACTGAGACCACAGAGAGAGGCACTGCTAGTGAGAGCAGATAGCACTGGGCTAAATAGAGTGATAGCCTGGTCTATAATGCTTTCTGGTGGAGGGCTACTAGGGCTGCCCATCCTAGCATTTCCCAGCTTAGGCTAAAAGTAGGCATCCCATTTATTGTCCACACATCAGGGAGTCCTAAATTTGTTGGTGTGTGCACCCCACTGTGTTCTGTCCACACAGTGAGTCCAATGCATCCATGTGGGACGTATTGTCCTTTCTCTTTTCCCAACCCTGCATAGTCACCATGTACCCCTCCTCCCATAATTTTGAAGCAGTCACTTCTTACCACCATTTAATACCCTGTTAAACAGCATGCAGTTGACAGATAACAGCCTCTGTCAAATTGTCAGGTGGATTGCACAATAAAAGTCTCATCTGGAAGCACCCCTGGTATAAGGCAGCTTCCAGTGTTCATATTGCTGGCAATGACAGGGACTGGCTCTGTAATGTCACTTGATCTCCAAGCACAGAAGGAACAGAGTCCTGTAAGGATCCAGGCTCAAACTGCCTGCAATTTCCTTCTTCGGGGCTTCAGTATGTGACACATTTATTGTGTGCCTGTGATCCTTCTCTCACAGTAGTTTCTGGGCTCTTTGCACAATGCCTTTCCTGTGTTTGCCTGACTTTTGGGGGCCTTTTGTTAGAGCAAGGATAAAGAGCTATTATCCCCTGATCTTGAGATAAAATGCTAGGAGATGCTAGGGTAACGTCACAATTCAGCACAGCATCACCTTGTGGTTGTGGGATGAAATAGAGAGAAAGGCAAAGATAACACCTGGAAAAGCTACAGGAAACCAAGGCAGACTGTCTCCCATAAAAACACAAGGTAGTCCTTGGAAAAGTGGTGGAGTAACTGCATCTTTTAGAGAAGCCCTCAGTAAGCAGAAACCTCCTCATCCTTCATTCTGTGGAGCAGGGAGCTAGGCCAAACTCAAAGGACTATTGTATCCAAGAATGCCACAGAGAGGTGCTACTAAACATTTCTATAAGGTTACTCCTACTTAGAGTAGACCTATTGGGTCTGGAGACTCCAACATGGGGGTGGTAACATCTAGGTATGTTTGACAACATCCAGCTGTGACTGTTCTGAACTGGTGTCTGACCTCAGTAATGGACTGGATGTGGGCCAGTAAGCTGAAGCTCAATCCAGATAAGATGGAGATGCTGTTGGTAGGGAGTCTATTTGTTCAACTGGGGAGTTCTCAACCTGTCCTGGATGGCATTGTGCTCCCCCAAGGGACAAGGTTTGCAGCCTTGGAATCCTCCTGGATCCCAAGTTATCACTTGTTGCTCAGGTAGACACCATATCCAGGAGCACTTTTTATCAGCTTCGGCTGATTTATCAACTGGATCCCTATGTGGCAGAGCAGTGCCTTGCCCCCATTATCAATGCACTGGTAACCTCCTGCATGGACTACTGCAATGTGCTCTGTGTGGGGCTGCCTTGGAAGATGGTCCAGACATTGCAACTTGTTCAAAATCAGGCAGCCCACCTGCTAACGAGGACCAGGGCTCGTTATTCAACATTCAAGGCCCTCCTCGACATTCCTCCCCAGAGTGGAGTGATGGAGGAGTTGGCAAGGAGGAGGGCATTCTCCTGTACTGCACCCCAGCAGTTCCGCAAGAGATCGGGCTGGTATCAACACTGTACTCTTTTAGATGCCAGCTAAAGATTTTTCTGTTTTGCAGATATTTTGGAAGGTGAATCTGTTGGGCTTGATTTTAAAGGATTATTTTAAAGGTTTTAGTCACTGCTACCATTTTAATTCTGTAATTTTATAGACTTATAATATTATGGAGGTGTTTAATTATTTTATTGTTGAATTGTTTTACATCTCCTTCTCAATTAATTTATTTAATGCACTTTAATTACTATTATTAGTTGTTTATTATATTTATTATATTGAGTTTAGTGTTATTACTGTTTTATTGTGGTTCTGACTGTATATAAGCCACGCAGCGAGCTTATGGCTAATTGGGTGGTATATAAATCAAACAAACAAACATGGTGTCCATGGACACTACTGTTGGGGCCCACTAGGCTTCATATTCATTCTTTTATTATTGTTCTATTTTAAAAGAGTTTTTTTTAATTAAAGAATAGCTGAGAGGCTAGAATACCACAAAATTAAGTTTCAACCTCTAGTACCATCTTTTTTTCCAATAATGCCTGCGGATCCCACATCTTCCATCCTGAGCAAATTGCCTTCCATGAAATGAGTGCTGGAGCAGAATGATGTGGGTGCAAAGAAGTGGTTTTGACAAGCAGATCCCTCCCCCAATTCTGCCATTTTGGGAGAGAGTCCACAACACTCTCTCAATACCCCAAATTGACCCAAAAGGTTGAGGACCCAATGTAAGTAGGACTAACACTGCTTACGGACATTGTGAGGGTGTTACAAGCTGCATGAATGGGACAGTCCCCACCTGAAGGACTCAAGCTCTCTTTTTGTCTCTGTTTGGAATGATCTGGGAGCACTGCTTGCCTTCACTTTGAGCACTTCAGCTTCTAGAAAGACACATGCCCAGGGGCTAAATGGTTTGGGAGAAGTCCTCCGCTCCCTTACAGCAATCCTATTCTTGTCCTCATTTCCCCCACAGGTTTCCTACTTTGAAATCTACTTAGACAAAATTCGTGATCTTTTAGATGGTGAGTATCCTCAGCAAGGTACTGAAGATGAAACTCAAATACTTTGCCACCTAATGAGAAAGAACAACTCACTGGAGAAGACTCTGATGCTGGGAACAATTGACGGCAAAAGGAGAAGGGAATGGCAGAGGATGAGGTGGCTAGAGGGAGTCACTGAGGCAGTGGGTGTGAGTTGGGTGGACTCCGAGGGATGGTGGAGCATAGGAGAGCCTGGAGAAATGTTGTCCATGGGGTCGTGGTGGGTCGGGCACAACTTTGTGACTAACAACAGCAATTCTTAGCAATGTTAAGTGTTATGGTAAGGATAGTGAGCTGTACCACTGCTAGCCTGGAATGAAGGAGAAAAGCTTGGTGGGAATTAATGACATTGCAGAGATGGGAGACTTGGGTGCTGGAAGTGCAGGTGAGGAACTGAAGAGAAATGTATCTCCCTGGATTAACTAGATCCTCTTTGAGTAATTTCCTTTCCTTGCCCACAGTGACCAAGACCAATCTCTCAGTTCATGAGGACAAGAACCGTGTGCCATTTGTGAAGGTGAGATTCAAGGGGAATGGGGGATGGAGAGAGACTGCTAAGTGGGCTTTCTGTCTGGTCTGGCTAGTGGCCTATCTCAGGGATGCAGTTTTAGGCTTTGGATGGGGAAACAAGAGTTATGGCGAGTTGTAGAGGCGAAGTTGAACTTTCAAAAGCACAAGCGAATCCCTAGTAAATCCTGGAGTGAATTTTATATAGCTGATAATAACCAGAAATATGGATACTTCTGTACAGTTCCTATGTACTACAGTACTGTGTATTGTGGAAAGACTGCCTTCTCTAAATGATTTACCTCAGGAGTAGATGCTGTAACTGCCTATAGGCACCAATGTGTCTCCAAATGCCTCTCTTAATGCCCACAACTGCTATTTTTATTTTAAAAATACATTTTGTATTTTCTTGCTGGCAACTGGGATTGCTTCCCATGAATGCTGCTGGGCAGGTTTCTTTCCCAGTGAGATCAGCCATCCTCAGGTCTGGCAGCCATTTCATGGTTGTGCCTATGGGCACTTTTTGTGGACTCCCTGCTTCTCTTGAAGTTTAGTTTATTTCTTAAGATTCATCTTTTACTGGGATACCAACATGTGGCATAGTGAAGGGCTGGCCTTTAGCTCCATCTTCATTTTGGTTCAGAACAGAGGATGTACAGTTTGGAGCCCAGAACACACCTCTGCCATGTACTTAGCTTATTGGGCAAATTACTCTTGTTCTAATCTCACCAGTTCGTTGTCTGGGAAATGAGTATTCTATGACCAGCTGTGCCCAGTTTGGCAATCTTTTTCTGAACGAGCAAAATTCTCATGCTAGTCATTGTGTGAGAGCCCACAGCATTTTCAAAATTCCACTTATGCAAAATTATTGGGGACTCCTCCCTTAGGGACCCGCCGTGAGAAGGCACAGGAAGGTACACAGCTGAACTGTGTGGGACAGGATGCTAGTGATGTGGTGTGAACTTTAACAGAGAGATGCGGTCACCACCATGGTATACTATGGCAACACCCTTTTTCTTTTCCTTCAGGGCTGCACTGAACGCTTCGTCTCCAGCCCTGAAGAAATTCTGGATGTCATTGATGAGGGAAAATCCAACCGTCACGTGGCTGTCACCAGTGAGTTCTGAGGAAGAGGACAGGGTGGGTGGGTGGGTGGGTGCAGAAGCTTCTATCCTGGGCCTCTGCAGCTTCTGACCACTTACCAGACCTAATGTGGCCTAACAGACCACGCATTGTGGCTTCCTGGGTGCCTGGTGACATTATGAGTTTTGGCAGGCCCAAGGAAGCAGACAAATGAGAGACTTATGTACCCTCTCAGTGCATACCTCCTACATAACAGGTGGGTGACATTTGGTTTGGAGGCCTGTCCTCATGCTTAGGGAAGGTGGCAGTGCCGTGGTCTAAGATTTCAAGGCCCCTGTTGTGAATCAGAGTCCAGAGATATGTATGAAAGGCAACAGATCCTTTCCACCCAACACAAATCTTATTAATAAACCAACGATACATGGAGAAAAATGAAAAATCACACAGCACAGGATTTTTTAAAACTTCCAGGGAGAACTGAAGCATTATAAATTGGAGGCATCAAAAGGTGACCTTCCCTCACCAGGTTCAGTATGATCAATATGATTAAACGTTAATAGATTCTCACAGTAACAGATTCACTCTCCCAACAAATCCTTGCCCCAACACTAACAGTTTTCCTCATTTGAGATTAAACCAGTAGTTTCCTCAATGTAAGGGCAGCTGTTACATTTTGGTACAGCAATCAAGGGTTAACATGTAAGATGTGCTGACTCTTCAATTAAACCTGTAATCACCAAAAACATTTAGCTGCTTTATATCAGGATAGCTCTTATGAGACTTTTCCCTAAGCAGCTGGAAAAACAAAATTTAGGTGAAGGAGCTTTTGTCAATTAGTTATCAGTTATTAAATCTTTAGCCACTCACCACTCCTGCCTCCAAAGTTACAGATCATGGGGAGAAATAATTTCTATTAATTCCTTTTAAGTCTGTGATGCAGATAAGTCCTTTATGTTCCAGAGTCTCAAACACATCAGAAACTACTTCTGTATTTTAAATTTACCTATTTAAAAAACATCAACTCCAAATTAGGAAAAACTATGCCTGGTGATGGGAAAAAGAAGAGATTGTAAGGTTTGAACTGTATTATGTGGTCAATAGCCAGGCTGGCTGAGATGGATGGGAGTTGTAATCCAAGATATCTAGAAGGCACCAGGCTGACAAATAGACCGCATTTGTGTTTGCCTATATACAGCTGCTCCTCCAAGGAGCAAAAGGCAGTGCATATTGTTCTTCCTCCACCATATAGTTTATCTCCCCAACAGCCCTATGGAGAGTTTATGTGGAGAGCTGGTGACAAGCCCCCATGGCAAGTTTTATGGCTGAGTGGAGATTGAACCTGGGCCTTCCTGGGGCTTCTTGGAGAGTTTAATCACAACACGGCCATGGCTCTTAATCAGTAGCAACAAACTCCATTTGCAAGGGATGGCAATTCCAGCCATGTGGCTTAGGACAAGAGAGACAATGAGATGCAGTGGGATGGGTAGGGAACATGGCCGTGAGTTCTGATGGGCAGAGGGCTTTTCTGCTACAGCAGTGCTCTGAGATGCTCCTGTTTTGCTTTCTAACCTGAACAACTTTTGCTGCTCCCTAGAGGCAACTTGTGCTGTTGCAGCCTCTTATTCTCAACCACACGGAAGCTGGAAAACCTCTACCCTTATACAAACAGCAGAGGAGGACTATACCACTTCCATTGGGGATTTGCCTGATTAAACAGCCCTCCACATAGAAAATGCCCTTTACACATAAAATACAGGTGTCAAAGAGAAGAATTGCATGTTCTTCTGTGTTATATTTTTTCTTCACACTGGAAAGTATAAAACAGTTTTTAAAAAAAAAACCTTTAGCATCTTTTCCTTTTTGTGGAGTACAAGCCATGGAAGGTAGTGGTATTTTTCCCCAAAATAATTGCAGATGACAGGTATTCCAGGCCTGAAGGGTGCGGTTGGAGGGGAAACAAAGTTATACATTTACAGGGTTCATATGATTTCAAATCTAATAGAACCACTGCATGGCCAAGATGGGTACACTTTCATCCCACTGTTGCTTCTGGTCAAACAGCTGTGTAGGTTTTTATAGTGCTTTGAAGCCTGTTTGTCTGGAAAGTGCAGTGAAAAAGACATGTGTATGTACAAACCTATTGGGAAACAAATCTTGCATGTGCCTCCTTCAGTTCTTTTAAGCAAATTTTTCAGTCTTTGTAATGGCCACATTTGGTAATATGATGAGTTGAGGACTTAGTGACCCTCATCATTTTGAATGGGTGATCTACACATGGACAAATACATAGCTATTCAGTCTATTTTCATTGAAATTGACATATAATTGGCTCAAGAAAAGTAGTATATTTGATCATATATAAAATACATACATTGTGTATATTTTTGTTTTTATTTATCAACATTCACAATTAAATCTGTCTCCAGGCCTAGGAGGCCAATGCATGGATTGCAGACTGCATGCTTCAGCTGCAGCAGATAACTGCAGCGTACTTCTGGCGGTGCCACGCACACCACTAGGTCACCTCAGGAGCAGTCCTGGTTGAGCATTTAGTGTGGCAGCACCCAGTGTCCTGAGCTCTTTTCTGATTGATATTAGACAGGCCCCCACTGTCCTGACATTCAAGTGTCTTCTTAACACTCATCTCTTCACACAAGCTTTCTCTGAAATATCACCCAAATAGCTAAGAGTTGTAACACACAGCGGAGTGTGTGGTTTTATTGTTGATTCATTATATTGTGTTTTTTATCACTATATTTATCACAATTCACACTGAGAACTTAGTGTGGTGTAGTGGTTAGACTATGGGCTGGGCCTCAGGAGACCCAGGTTCTGGTACTTGCTCAGCTGCAAAGCTCACTGGATGACTCTGGACCGTGCTCTGATTTTCAGCCTAGCCTACATCACAGGGCTGTTCTGAGGGTAACATGGAGAGGAGGAGGAAGACTATGTAAGCTGCCTTGGGTTCTTCCTGAGGAGAAAGGGTGGGATATAAATGTGACATAAATCATATTTAGGGTTGATGTCATGTTTTTGAATTTTCTGTTCACTGCTTTGATATTTTTATGCAAAGCAGTCCGGTATACACAACTCAGTTGCTGCCTGGTCATCACTTCTGCCTTGATTTCCCCTTTGGGGAACCGAACAGAACCCCTTCTTATCTCTTTGTTTTCCCCTGCAGATATGAATGAGCACAGTTCCCGCAGCCACAGCATCTTCCTCATCAACATCAAGCAGGAGAACATGGAAACTGAGCAGAAGCTGAGTGGGAAGCTTTACCTGGTGGATCTGGCTGGCAGTGAGAAGGTGTTGGAGGCTTCTGGGGGGCTTGTTGTCCCTGCCTTGATTTGCACATGGGCAAGATGTGATTTCTCCCATAAAACAAAGCCATCCAGCACCAGAAATCTATAGAGATCTCAGCAACAGTTTGAAACAATTCCCAAGCAGGGCTTACTAAAAGACCATGTTGTCCTATCCTGCTTGTCAGAAGCCCCAGGGTTTGATCCAGTGACCTCTGGGAGCTATCCTGCCTGTGCTTAGAGCTCCCTCCTGGCACAGAGGGGAATAACAGTTGTGCAGTGCCCGTTCCAGACATTGGCAGGCTACACCGAGTCTCTGGGTGGCCAGGCGCATAGGAAAAACACTGTGAGTTGTACAGCCACTTGTCTCAGTCTGGTCAAGCATAGCAGTGTGCCCTGCTTCCAGAATCAGCTGCTGACTTCAGGGCTGGGATGAGGAATGTGTGGCTCTCCAGTCACTGTTGGACAGTAACTCCTATCATCCCTCAACATCAGCTATGCTGGCTAGTTACAGTCCAACAACATCTGGAGGATCACACTCCCCACTTCTCCCTTAGTGGGCAGCTGGGCAGTACACCTTGATGTGTGTCTACAGCTGGTTGTGGACAGCCTCTGACACAATTCTGATGGATTCACAATGTGGTTTTCTTTTGCCAGCTGACAAGGTGTTTCCTTGGAGTACTTTGGGATCTGCACATATTCCTGATGTTTAGGGCAGCTATTTTTCATTTGCAGTTGTGCATGTCAATGTTCTTTTCAGCCTTCTGGGCACCTCCATCTGTTGCGAGAGGAAACCTTGCTTCCCTTTTCACAATTCAATCCATATCTCACCCCAGGATTATTGTCTCCATAATCAACCTTTCCTTCTCCTGCCAGGTCAGCAAGACAGGAGCTGAAGGAGCTGTTCTGGATGAGGCCAAGAATATCAACAAGTCTCTTTCAGCGCTTGGCAACGTCATCTCAGCTCTGGCTGAGGGCACGGTGAGCATTACGATGCTGATAATAAGAGCTTTGTGTTATGTAAGCTGGCACTCCAAATATGTGAACTTGTTGTGTCTGAGGAGCCGTCCATAGAATGGCATAAGCCAACATGTGCACTGGGAGTGACCTCTGATCCACAGGAGACTCTTGTGTAGCCCTCAGGCTGTTGTTGCAGTTCTGGAAGCCCAAGAGCAAACAAAAAATGTTTCTAGTTTGCACATTTGCAGAGATAAATGCAAAGGAAACTCTGTTGTGTTCAGGCACAGCTGATGGACTATCTTCTGTTTGGCCCAGGCTCTTGACTCCCCCAACCCTCATCCCTTAGATGAGGAGAAAGCCAACTGTAGGCCTGTTTTTAAAGCCCTGCCAGAGTTGGGGAGAACCTTTGAAATAAATCTATTAAAATAGCAATGCCTCTGTGGAGCTTGAATCCAGCAGTCAAGATTCAACAGCACAGCAAACTCATTAAGATGCAGAGCCAATGAGTCTTTATCTTGAGATCTCAATGTGATTGTTTCAAGGTTACCTGAAAGACAGGTGTGCCGGTGCACAAGAGGATGCTGTCTGAAATAGTCTCTTGGTGACACAAATATTGGTACTACAGTGTTGGAAGGGAGCACATGAACCTTTTAATAACTGAGAAACAGCAGTGTTAAAATTAACTGATGATACACAGATCTGAGAGGTGATGAGTGATTCCCTTGACTTGTGGAAAGGGGCAGGAAATGCTCCAGAGGTTCTGGCAAAAGAGATTCTAAAAGAGATCAACAAGGGGGACAGTTTAGAAGTGTGCATTTGAGTGGATGTATTTAGTGACATGCTGTTGAGAAAGATTAAAGTATTTTTTCTTATATGCATAAAACTGCAATAAAGGAAATAACAAGATGAGTAAAACTGAACTTAAATGCATCATGTTCACTTCTGCTGATTTCTAAGATGATGTGTCAAGAGAACATTAACATGCCTACCAGCTGCTCATGTGGCATCTACCACATTTGTAAAACTGACATGCAGAATTTTTAATGATACAGAGCAAAAATATAATGCTGTACTTATTATATTTATATCCCACTTTTCCTCTAAAGAGCTCAAGGTGGTGTATTTGGTTCTCTCTTCCTCACTACAATCTCCATCCCCCAGTGTCTGAGCCCAGGGGCCCGTTCCAGCCAAGACACCTTGCTTTAGATTCGAGGATACTTAGGAAGAAATAAAACCAAAGATGATATACAATTTATTGAATACATATGGGGTGAAATACATATGCAGATTATAAGCAAACAAGCAAAAGAAGACTTAACAGATGTCCTGTTAGTCAGAGGGGTCACTGATGTGGTGGTTGTTGCTCCTACCACTAGGTTGGGCGAGGGAGCCTATGCCACACTAATTCAACTGTTTGGCTGAAGATCTTGCTAAGTGTCCGGTGCAACCAGGACTCCTGCCATGACTCTGGAATAAATGCTAATGCTACGGCCTGCTTATTATTTTCATTCCCCTGGTGCAGGGTCCCCCCCTCCCCTTGGAAGGCAGAGCCTAGCATGACTTTGCATAGACCTGGAACTTTCCCCTGCTAAGAGGGAACCTGTGTGCACATGAATGATCCAAATCTGTCCACCATTCTTCTCTTATGCAGAAGAGCTACGTGCCTTATCGGGACAGCAAGATGACCCGCATCCTGCAGGACTCTCTCGGTGGAAACTGCCGCACAACCATGTTTATCTGTTGCTCACCCTCCAGCTTTAACGATGCCGAGACCAAATCTACTCTCATGTTTGGACAGCGGTAATCACCCACTCGCATCCTGTTCCTTTCTTCAAGCCAGTAGGGGCTATTCTGCCACAGTGTTTTCACAAGGGCAAAGATCAAGAATGAGTAAAATCAGGCAGTAATGTGGGGGCAACTTGCTTCCGGAAGGCGGAATATTTTGGAATCTCACATAGATCTTCTTCTGGCAAAGGTATTTAAGAGCAAAAACGGGGAGCAAAAATATTCTTACATGGCAAGGTATGATTCCAAATCACTTGGGTATATCTGTGTTACAGATATAAATTGATTGAGCAGTCATTCTTCCCCTCTAGGGAGCCCTGGAAATGGCAATTCTGTGAAGGTAGTTCAGAATCTTACGCAATTCTCAACACTGTTTACTGAACTACAATTCCCAGGGAAACCAGGGCTCTTAAAAGGGTACAAAATCTATGGGTTAAACTGACTTCTGTTCATGTACTGAGAATTCCCCTTGCTCTCCTTCCCCTTGCATCCACCCCAAATCTGCTTCACAGAGTCCTCCAACCCACTGAAGCAGATAAAGGGCATTCATGGCAGGCTGGAGAGGAGAGGGGAAATACGTTCTGGCACTGGCTTCTGTTCCTCTGGCATCCAGCCAGTGCTGGGTGCAACTCAATATCTTTTTGAAGTGTACACAGGGAGTTAGATGACCTGAAAACAAAAGAGAGAGGCTGGGCAGGTTGTAATGGTCACCCATCTATGTGCTATTTTGGCTTTCCCTTGAAGATTATGTTGGGTTCCAAAGTCTTTTAGACCTAGTGAATACATGGATATTGATATTCACTTGGTCTCCAGTTCAGAAATGTGTCTGCCATAATCAATCTGTTAGTCTTCACAAGCCTCTTCACTGTTTTAGCTTTGAATAAGCCACAACTTAATTGACTAATCCAGAGACCATCACAGTGAATGCAGATTTTCTCCACTTACTTCCTGGCTCTCCTCATTCAGCCAAAGGGCTCCAGTTACTATAGGATGGGCAGTTCTGCAGCGGCACCCTTGCTTTGCACACAGAGATCCCAGGTTCTGAAATGCTGGAGAGCTTCTTCCACTCGGTGTTGACTGGAACTAGGCAACTGTGGACACCTTTGGCAATTTGAGAAACTGCTCTGGACACAATTGCAAAATGGCTGTCCTGGGAAACATGGCAAAGGACATGTAAACTGCTCCAAAGACTGCGTACAAGGCAGAAGTGGAATCTGAGCCCCAACACACTAAGCAGTTCCTTTGAACCCTTAGCTCACTGCAATTTCAGCCACTAAAAGAACAAAAAGTAGGAGGGGTACTCAACAGGGGTGAAGAAAGGTGTCCGGAGCACACTGGCGCTCACAAGCAGCATGTTGTTTACCCCTTGCATAGACAGTACCATGCTAGATTGACAAGTGGCTAGAATCAGTATAATGCAGCACCTCAAGTTCCTAGGAGCTGAGTCCATTCAGCTGCAGTGGTGGGAATGTCACACTAGAGGCAAGAAATAATAGACTGTACAGGCTGTCCATGGATGGGTGGTGGAGTGGGATGGGCAGAGCTTTTCCATCAAAGGCAGCCCTGAAGTACTCTGGGTAAAGGAGCTTCCAGTCAACTCCTCTCCTCTCCTCTCCTCTCCTCCTAGGGCCAAGACAATCAAGAACACAGCTTCAGTGAATCTGGAACTGACAGCTGAGCAGTGGAAGAAGAAGTTTGAGAAGGAGAAGGAGAAGAACAAGATCCTGAAGGAGACGATTACCAAGCTGGAGGCAGAGCTCGGACGCTGGCGCAATGGTGAGCCAAAGTTTGTGGGGCTAGGCTGCACTTGCCATGTATGTGGCTCTATGCTTATTTGGCCTTGTCAAAGTAAGCTATGCAATGGATACTTTTCAGACAGTCTCTGCCACATGTACTTTGAGTGGCAGGTGTCCTCTGGGACAAATGGGCTTGTTCTTGACTAAAGTTTCCAGCCTGGGAAACAGCACCCTTCCTTTAAATGCTGCTGCCTCTGTGTATAGATAGACAGATATCCAATGAGAATTGCATATATCCTCTCCTCTTTCAAGATTACAATCCATCGCACAGAGGAAAAATAGGAGAGGAACAAATAAATACTAGGGAGGTTGGCAAGAATAGTGACTAATCTCAATTTGGGGGCAGTCCCAGCAAGCAGAGTGAACAAGGACATGTGCATTCTTAAACCAATGTGGAGTCATGAAGCGTCCTGCCAGTGTTGTTATCCATTTATCAAGACTCAGTGGCAGGCAACGTCAGCAAGATGCCACATTGTTGTCTTTTTCTCTCTTATGAGGAACCCAAGCTGGCTTACATAGCTCCATTTTACTCTCACAACAAGAACAACCCCATGGGGTAGGTTAGAGTGTAGTGAATGACTGGCCCAAAGTCACCCAGTGAGATTCATGACTGAGTGGGAACCAGAACCTGGATCTCCTGAGTCCCCAGGCCAACACTCTAGCCACCATGCCACTCTGACTTTCAGTGTGTTGATCAATAAATGTTTCTCCAGCTGTTGTGTGGATTGCAGCTAAACTCAGAGAATTCTGCAGTGCTAGTGCAGAATCCAGAAAGTCAGAAACTGCTGGAGCCGCGTCGCTGTTGGGTTTTGCCTGCACTGCACAGCAACTCTCACTGGCTGATCTGAAATGCTTCCAGGCGAGAATGTCCCAGAGACAGAGCAGCTGAGCGATGAGGAGAAGGTGGAGACGGACACCTGTGATGAGACACCTCTCAATGATAACAACTCCTCCATTGTCATCCGGATCTCTGATGAGGAGCGACACAAATACGAGGAAGAGATCCGCAAACTCTACAAGCAGCTTGATGACAAGGTCAGAAACCTCTTCACCAAAAGGGATTGGTGACTCCAATGTCAGAGGGGTGGTCTATCCACTTCCAGGTCATTCTCGACTTTGAAGGAGCTATTCGTGGTTCTGAAACCGGTTGGGTGGATTTGCCACTGTGGATGGTTCCTTAGAGTTCAGACCAAACCTCAGAAGGGATACACCACCCCATTGTCATGGGATCTGCAGGCCTCCACTGCTCTCCACTCCACTTCCTGGTTCTGAGCATCTGCCTCCATCCCCTCCTCACTTTTTGATGCTGAGTGTCCTTCCCTCATCTCAGCCCCCGAGTTCTTCCCTTGGTGCTGCTTCCTCTCTCCCTGCTGACAGAGCATGAGGTGGCTTGCACCACAGTGTTTTCTTTTCATCCAGGATGATGAAATCAACCAGCAGAGCCAACTGATGGAGAAGCTCAAAGAGCAGATGTTGGATCAGGAGGAGGTGAGCCACTCTGCCTTTCTTTGCAGGGGCATGTTCATGAGGATAGAAGAATGTGCACACAACATATTTATGTACTCTCTCTCGCTCTCTCTCCTCTGTTGCCAAATCCTTTTTTTATAATCCAGCCTTTCCTCCAAGGAACCCATGGTGTCCTACATGGTGCCCACTCATCCCCTTTTTAAATTTGTAACTACCCTATCGGGGTAGGCTGAGAAATGGCAATGCGTCTAAGGCAGGGGCAGGCAAACTTTCTGGGCCTGTGGGAACATTTGGCAATTTCAGAAACTGTCATAAGCATCACTACAAAATGGCTGCCATGGGAGGTGTGATTAGTCACAAAAGACATACAGCTGTGGCCAAAGCAGACATGAGGTTGGCACCTCAGTGGAGCCTCCTCTGAATGCACCCTTTTCTTCCCCCCCGTCTTCAGCTTGGTGGTTGCATGCACTGCAGAGGAAAGCATCGATCCACAGCTGCTTGCTATCTGCATTTGTTAAGAACCTCTCTGAGCCACAGCACGTAGCCCAGAGGTGTTCCTGGGGCATGAAGCTGGCAGTGGTGGGAGGCCTTCACTTTTGTTGAGTGATCTCCACTGCCAGAAGGAGAATGTGTTCAAGAAAAAGTGGGAGGGATGCTCGCATTGCCTAGTCATGGCCTGTGGACACCCCCTGATCTTCAAGATTGCATGGGATGTGAACCCTCCCCTCCCCTGTCCCAGTCTGGCACTCTAACCACTATGCCCCTGAGTCTCTCTTTCTTGGTGCTTTGCCTGACTCTTTTCTGGTGCCGGTCTCTTTCTGCATCATCACTGCCCGGGCTCCTGCTCATTGTCCCTGCTTCTTCATTCACATTTTCCTCTTTCCTACCAGCTGGTGATGTCAACTCGTGGGGACAATGAAAAAGTGCAGCGAGAGCTCAGTCACCTGCAGTCCGAGAATGACTCTGCCAAGGAGGAGGTGAAGGAGGTGTTGCAAGCCCTGGAGGAGCTGGCTGTCAACTATGACCAGAAATCCCAGGAGGTGGAAGAGAAAAGCCAGCAGAATCAGCTGTTGGTGGATGAGCTGTCCCAGAAAGTGGTACTTTCTGAGAATTAATAAGGAGTGCACTAAGTTGGTGGAAAGGGGTCAGGGCCAAACCGAATCTTCCTTAAGGCTCTAAGAGCAGGGTTGTGTATATGCTACAATTTTGCACAATCATAGAACGACACAATGTAGTAGATATATCCTTATAGATATAAGGATGTGTTTGAAAGCATGTGATCAACATCTACTGAAATCTCTGGAACTAGAAGAGTGCCTAATAAGAACTCCAATGGTTGGTTGGGGGTACAGCTCAGTATCTCACATAGCTTCTTACCCCTCACCATAACTAGCACTATCAGCATAATATATGCCAAATTGAAAAAGGAATAAATTTTCCAAAAAGTGAAAAGTTTTTTTTTTCATAATTGATACAGATTGCAAAAATAAGGGTTAACTTGGTACTGAATGTTAATCTTTGTACTGTTAAAGTTAATAATAAAGTATTATTTTCTTTTATTAGATATCAATGAAACTAGACCTCTAGGCATCACACATCCATTTTAAACAGAGAAATGCTATAATAAAATAAAAATTACTATTTTTAAAAATTGCAGCAAGAAGCCAAGTAAAATGTAATCCAAAAAGTAGGGATAAAACCCTACCAATAAATACAGGATTGAAAAGTATCAAAAGACCTGTAATAACAAAGCTTTTAAATGGTCTGGGTAAACAAAGATGTCTTAACTTGATACCAAAAATTGTTCCCTGGGTACAGCTTTCCATAGAGGGGGGTGGGGGACCAGCAGGCACCTTTGACTATGCTGGCTTTTGTTTTCAGAATCTGGCCCAGAATACTGCTGGGAGGGAAGTTACGTCCATTTACTCAGCTGAAAATGGAGTGCTGGGTTTTGCAAATTGGAGGGCATCTCCTTTGAACTGGTTAAGTTACACTCCTGTCTCTCCTTGCAGGCCACCATGTTGTCTTTGGAAGCTGAGTTGCAGAGGCTGCAGGAGTTCAGTGCCCATCAGCACAAGCGCATTGCTGAAGTGCTGAACGGACTCATGAAGGATCTGAGTGAATTCAGTGTCATTGTGGGCAATGGCGAGATCAAGCTGGTAAGGGAACAGGAGTGCTTGGCAAGAAAGGGGGGAACGAGGCATTCACTCTGATGCAGAGATATGTGTCTGCTGGAGCAGGAAGATTTTAGGTTTCTGGAATCTACTTCAGTTTTCCTTAGAAGGGTTAACTCAAAGGCAGTTGATGGTGACCTCCGAATAGGGAGGCACCATAATTGTGTTTCAAGTGCAAAAAAGTCATCAGTATCAGGTCTGAAAAAAGACAGGAGGACAAACTAGTCAACAATGGAATCTAATTCTGGCAACAATATCTAGATTCTCTGTAAAAATGAGTTTACAAACGATGGCAAATCCGGACTGATTGGCTAGTGCATCATTGGTGCCATGAACAAGTGTTGTGTGGTTGAACTGTGTGCCCAAGACATTATGTTAACTCTTTTTTTCCTAATCACCCAGCCAGTAGAGATTAGCGGTGCCATTGAGGAAGAATTCACAGTTGCCCGCCTCTACATTAGCAAGATTAAATCAGAAGTGAAGTCAGTCGTGAAGCGCTGCCGGCAGCTGGAGGGGCTGCAAGTGGAGTGTCATCGCAAGATGGAGGTGACAGGACGGGAGTTGTCTTCCTGCCAGCTTCTCATCTCTCAGGTCAGACTGGTTGGAGGGGTGGTGGAAGAAGGGCAGCCATGGGGAAGGGCGGCTTTGAGGATTGGCTGTGAGTTACAAAGATGGAGGACCTCAGAGATGCTCCATATCCAAAATCTCCAAGAACCCCAGGAGGCACAGGGGCAGATTCTCCTTGTCCTGGTCTGAGGAGAAAGACTGAGCTTTGCTTAGTCCAAAGGATGGAGAATGTTGGGAGAACAGCTTTCCCCAAGAGGGTACCATCTGCATCTGTCCAGGGGGAGCCATCGTCTGTGACATCCATCTTGAGTTAGAAGGGGAAGCCTGGCTGTGGGAAGCCAGATGCTGGAGAACACAGCTCTGCCAGGCCCTCCCACTGGCTTGCACACTGGGAATGGGTGAGATACGTTGGAATGACCTATCTTCTACAGCTTCCTGACCTTGGCGGAGGCCCTGCTTCTCAACCCAGGACATCATCTATGAGAACCGGGCAGCAGACACGAGAGGGTTTTTTTTTTTGCGGGGGGGGGAGGTGTTCTAAAAGTGCCTTGTCATCAGATAATGAGGGCAGGGCAGAGGCACAGCAGCTGCTTGAGAGCCAGGCTTCCCTGTAGGAGCAAATGTCTGGGGGTGATCTTCCACAGCTGCTCTCCTGTATGTGCAGACTTTGGATACCTGGAAAGCTTCTTGGGAACTGTGAACTTTTGTGGATTTATTGTGTGCACTGTACCCAGGTCCCTTGTGATGTTTATGACCTGGTTCTGGTAAAGGAAATGTACTGTAATCTGCTGTCTATAAATCTTCACTGAGGGTTATAGCTAACTACTTGAGCTGCTGCAGTGAAAGGTTTTCCTGAGACTTATACCTTGGTTCTGGGAAATCAGAGGGGGTGGCTTGCAGTGGACTAGATATGCCAATAAATACAGCTTTGCATTTAGCATGCAAGTTTTTTAAAAACTGTAAATAAAAACCAGGTTAAGAGAGGAAGCTAATAATTATTGCTATTGCAGTGAGTCCAATGGTAGAATTGAGTCTCTTGGCTCTTGGCTCCCTGAAGAAAATCCCTCTTCTGAGACTGGCATTTGCTTTGCCAAGTGTGGCAGAGGAGACAAACCTTCCACTGATGCCGAATGCAAGGTGTTCCTTTAACATCATGTCTAGTTTTGGCCCTTGGACAGGCTAGCAAGACTGGAGTGGAGTTGCAGGACCTTGGATAGCTCCAAGTAGGTGACTTGTTTCAACAAAGCCAGAAGCACAACTGGGGCCTTAGGCCAGGGATGATAGGATCACAAGTGAAGCACAACTGAGGCAACCGTTTCCAGGGTCCTCCTTGTTCCCAAGAGTAAGAATTTTAAAGACTTAGCCTAATTGCCTGAAGCTGAGCCCTCCATTGCTTCTGGGTTATCTCCTGTTTTGTGTGTTACCTGTGCTGCTGAGAGGCACCAGTGAGGAGTGCTTGGTGTCAAGGAGAGGGGGGCAATTCCTCAGTACAATCTGTGAGATTCAGTGTGGCGGCGCACCAGTCAGAGTGTTTGACTGAGACTTGGGAGATCTGGATTATGGTCCCCACTCCATGAAGCTCACTGGGTGACTTTGGGCCAGCCAGTGGCTTTCTGCCTAACCCACCTCACAGGATTTGTTGTGAGGATAAAATGGAGAGGAGGATTTGGATTCCCTTCAGGAAAAAGGCAAGCCTTAAATATAATCAGTCCACTTGTCAGAGGGGCAGTGGGGGCTTTGGTTGAAAGGCTCCAGCTTCAGTTTGGTATTAGGACGGCTGCTCCAAAGCAGAGCTGGGCAGCACATGAATAGCCTGCAAAGTCCTTGTGGCAGGGAGATAGGCACACCAGCCTCACCAGGGAAGACTCAGCAATGCATGGCTTTGAACTGAAGTTTCCATCCCCTTCAGCTGCTTTTGAGTTAAAATCAAAACATGCGGAGATCTGATCTTCTGTGGCATGGATAGTTTGAGCCTTACACTTGACAGATTGAGGGGTATATTGGGGGCCAAACTAAGTACAGGTGCATGCAACACTATCCCGTGACACTTTCAAAACATGAAAGGCAACCAGGAGGGGCAGGGTGGGGTGATAAAGATCAGAGAAACAGGAAAGAGGAGGAGTGTTTAACTGGCCCCCTTTCCCAGGCTCATGTTCCCTGCACCAAATCACGTGCACATCTCTGCAGCTTTTTCCTCTTCAGAGTTCTAGATGAGAGATAGCATAGCACTTGGGGCTCTGTGAAGCCAAACTCTTCACAGGGGAGAAGAATAGAAGAGGAACGGGTTAGAACACACACACACACACGTGCTCTGATCCTGATTGCCCCTCCAGAAGCAGCTTTTCCTGTGTCAGATGGGTCACTGAAAGAACACCGCACACATCTGCATGTAATTTCTAGTTTGATCCCGAAGGCTGCCAGAATGGCCACACTTCGTTGGGAATATGTAGCCCCACTGAACAGCTCCTGGACAAGCATGCAGTGTAACACCTCTTGAGCTAAATCTAATATTATGTGACCAGAGTTCCAGTGGGACTTCTGCAATGGGAGTTCGCCTTCCTGTACTCCTTCCCCTCTGCAGGCCCCCTCCCCACATTTGGGGAGGTGGTCTGCAGGTGGGAGGGGAAGGTCACTCTGCCACTGCTGGTGGAAGGACACTGCTGAGTGCAGCCTTGGGTGTACACATTGGGAGTGGCTCCCGGATTTCTTCCAGCTCTAAGGAAGCTCAGCTGAGAAGAAAGGACAATCTCTGTGCTGCAGTGAACAGAAATTCTGGGGATGCCACTGAAGTTAAGACTGAGAACTCAGGAATCCACATTATGGCTGGGAAAGGGGTCTTTGACTTGTCTGCTCTTCTTTCCTCCACCATCCGGCAGCATGAGGCAAAGATCCGCTCACTCACTGAATACATGCATAGTGTGGAGCTGAAGAAGCGGAACCTGGAGGAATCCTATGATGCGCTGAATGAAGAGCTGGCTAAACTGCAGGCCCAAGGTGCATCTCTCTCCCCCAGCAAAGCATGCTTCATATTTGACATAGAACATGCAAGCCATTTGCATCATTTATGCCAAAAATATGTGGGTGGAGATGACTGTGGAACATGAAGAAGGTGACATCTGCTGTCTTGGTTGCTTGCAAGCAACTTTCATCATCCTTGAATGCTCCCTCTTTAATAACTCCTTTGGGGGCATTTAAAAACCAACAAAAACACCCATCTTGCTTCCAAGTAACTGGTACCCAAGCAGCAAGGGAAGAAGCCACAAGCTTGCCTCTGCTGCGACCAAACTCTTGGTTCTGCCTGTTGGGTTCTGCATGTGGCCTGATAGCTGTGCGATGCTTTGGGACCCAGCATGGAGTCTCGGGTCTGCTCTCAAAGCTGTGCACAAACCTCCTGACCATTATTGTCTGCAGTCCTGCTCAGGGTTTGGCATCTTCAGGCACCTGCCAAGGCCATGTGTGTTGGCCCCTCCACCTCTGTCCCTGCAAGTGGTGCCCCCATCTCCAAATCTCTGTTGAGAAGGGGGAAGATCTGAGGAAGGCTTTTCCTCTTGAATGCAAGGCAGTTCGGTGGCATGCCAGGAAGTGCAGCCCTCTGCCTTTTACATGCACTTACATACCTCCAGCCTCCACCAGCCTGGTACCCCCTCCCCCAGATGTTTTGGACTAAGATTTCCATAATCTTTAACCATTGTCCGTGCTGCCTGGGGCTGATGGGAATGATAGCCTAGTACATCTGGAAGGCACCTGAATGGGGAACAGTAATACATTTATTTGAGGATAACCCCTGGGGTCTTATTTACCTATGGGAGGGATAAATTAGGGGTTGCATGCCAGCAAGGGGTGGGGCCAGAGCTCAAGCAAACAGCCCACTTGAGTTCCAGTGGAAAAACCCCATTTTCACATGCACAAATTCACACACTCATCCCCCCCACACATGCACACACTGGGCACCAGAGTGGAGGAGAAAACCGGTACAGCCAAGATGGGCAGCACACCCCACACTATTGTAAAATATGTTTTAAAAGGCATCCAGAGCAGACATTTTGACCCTCCTCTAGCCACACACAATTCTGGATACTATTTTTAAAATAATCATCATACTAGTCACAGCTCTGCACTAGAGACTCCTTCAAGAGGCCACCTGATGGCTTTAGCAGGGGAGCTGGGGCTTCATCCCTAGTCTTCCAGGTCCAAGCTCAAAGGTTGGCACATTGAACCAACCCTGACCTTCAGCAGAACCGGTCCAAGTCTGCTTTACACCAAGGATCCTTTTGCTCCCCTACAGAGACTGTACATGAAGTGAGCAAAGAGCAGGATGTGATCCAGGATCCTGATGAAGTCAAAGTGAGTAACAGAACCATGACATGCGCTTTCTGGTCAAAGGAACTCCCCCACAGAGGAAGAGAACGTCATCTTCTTGAGCAACATGACTAGTCCTGGGCATGTCTCAGGAGAAAGAGGGCTGACAAGTTGAAGGAAGTGGAGGGCTGGGGGCGGGGGTGTCCCAGGTGCTGGGAAGGAGAATAAGTGACCAAGGGACTGTGGGGTGGGAGGAGTGCAATGAGACTCTTACAGGCTGCTGAAAGGAATTGAAAATATTGAAGATGCTCGTATCACTATGAGGGACCCTGGGATTGCCCTTGGCGTTCCTGAGCTGCTCCATCCTTGTCATGCAGAAGGCCCTGGAAGTGCAGCTAGAGAGTCACCGTGAGGCCCACCACAAGCAGCTGGCGCGGCTGCGCGATGAGATCAACCAGAAGCAAAAGATCATCGATGAGCTCAAGGAGTGAGTCACCCTCGGCGGGAGGGCCAAGCAGCTCCCATGATGGGATGTGATTCATCACGCAGAATGAGATGGGCCATGCTGGGGTGGGGAGGCTGGGCTTCCTGGCACCACCTGATTGGGGCAGTGGCCAGAGACTGCTCTCAGCTGGAGCTTAGGTGAGAAGACGAGGGAGAAAGGCAACAGTAGCCATGGAGCATGTCCAAAGTAGCCTTGCACGCTCTCTAAGCTGGGCCATGATGTGGGTTGGCCTGTAAGCCCATGCCTCTTGCATGGTCCGAGGCTACCTCCCCACTGGTCTCAAGCACTGTGTGTTGAACTGAAGACCTAAGCTGCTGGCACAGAGCTTGCACAATGCTCCTGCAAGCTAGGGCAGGGGTACACTCTGCACAGCAGTGAATTTAGCTTCAGCAGTACTGCTTCCTGGGAACTGCGGTTCAGGCCAGGGGGCTGGGATCTGCAGAAGTTTCCACTTCCCAGGGTTCTTCATGAAGATCCAAATGATGGAACCCACTAAAAAATCCATTCAAGCCAGTGCTATATGAGGGTCTATGCTGAAGAGGGGCAGCTGTGTGCTGGCATTATTTAGGATGTAGTTGCATCCAACAGTGTCTTTTATACATTATCCTGGGATAGGGGCTCTCTGAAGTGTTGGAGGCCACAACTGTTTAGTCTTACTGCCTTAGCCTTTGCTTACAGTGTTGATCTTACACTCAGGTAAGTGAGGAGGCATAGGAGACAATGGGCATGTTGGCTATTCCTGTGTTAGCATCTCTGTTTCTCGCTATATTATTTCCATATTTGAGAGCCAGTGTGGTGTAGTAGTTAAGAGCATGGGCCTGTTGCTCAGGTGATCTGGGTTCTAGTCCCTGCTTGGCCATGGAGCCAGCTGAGTGACTGGCCCAGCCACAGACTCTCAGCCCAACCTACCTCACAGGGTTGTTGTTGTGGGGAGAAGATGGAGGAGGAGAATGATGTAAGCTGCTTTGAGTTCTTTGTAAAAAATAGGTACAATATAAATCTAACAAATAGATACTAAATATTCTGTCCCTTCACAGCTTAAACCAGAAGTTAGAGCTTGAACTGGAAAAGCTCCGTGCTGACTACGAGAAACTCAAGAGTGAGGAACAGGAGAAATCACAGAAACTTCAGGAGCTGACGTAAGAGACTTTCTTTCCCTTCCTTTCTCTGGCCAATTTCACTTGCCTCTTCTCACCTACCTCTTCTCTCATTATGAAGAAGAGCTAACAAGAGAGAAAGGAGTTGCTGACTTGGTTCAAACAATGTAACTCTCACTCAAGGATTGAGTGTAGGTTGTTGTTGAACCATGGGTTATTGCGTTATCCAAACTCAACAGTGTATGGTTTGTTCACCATGGATTGTTATCACAATTGGGTCCAGACAACACAGTAACCCATGGTTCAACAACAACCCACACTCAACTGATGCTCCACTCGAGTGTGAGTTATTGTGTGACCTGAACTCTGTCAGCACCTGAGAATTAAAGAATTCTGAGCTGCAAAATTTGGTTTGAATGCCAGAACTGAATGGACATTATAGCCCTTCTACACAAACCCGTTTACCTCCCCCACAAATGTTCTTCATTCCAGCTGTGTAATTGGGAGGGGAGGAGGGAGTCTTTTGTTGTGGCTCTTGTAAAATAACCAAGAGTCAGAACTTGCTGATCTACTACAAATCAGCAAGAGATCTACCAGCTTAGGGCCGTGCACCAAGTACCATTTAAGCCTGATGGGCTGTGATATGTGAACGAGACAATCAGACTTATTATGCAGAAACACCCATAGTAGGACCAGCTTTGTTGCAGATGTGTGTGTTTGTCCAATAGACTCGATAGCAACCCAGGCCTGCTGCCTCGTCATGTCTGATGTGGCCTTCCTTTGAAATCCCCCACTAAATAACTTTAAAGTTGTGGATCACATTGGCAGTTTTCAAATTTCAGAAATGCAGTTGACAGGCATGCATGTAATCATGCATGTAAAGTGATATGTAATCCTGATCAATGGAGTAACGGTGCAAAGCAGGTTGTAGGACTGGGGCCGACACACTGGAGTGGTTGCCCATTTCTCATGAGGCTGTGTGTGCTTGGGCCCCAAACAGCCTGGTTTTACCCCTGTGGTGTGTGACTGCCTCTGCCACTGGCCGGTTGCTATCACCTAGCGTCCATTATGTTGTCAGCCTCTCCTTGCACTGCTAGTTAGCTTCAGGGACTGCACGAAAACCCTTCTGTGCCATGACATGACCTTCCTCCCCATCACCGCATGCGCCTTTGACCTGCACCTTCTCTTGGCTTCACAGATTTCTGTACGAGCGACATGAGCAATCCAAGCAGGACCTTAAAGGGCTGGAGGAGACTGTTGTAAGTATCTAAGCAAGACCGGGAGGAGGGAGCGAGTGGCTGAAGCCCAGGATAATTTCACCTCCAGTTTGTCCTTTTCTACTCCTCTAGGCCCGTGAACTCCAGACCCTCCACAATCTTCGCAAGCTGTTCGTTCAAGACGTCACAACTCGAGTTAAGAAAGTATGTTGTTCTCAAGCCTCTTGTAGTACTTATTGCTGTTGCCATTATTTAGCATTTATATGGAGCTGAAAGTGCTTGACTTAGACCAACATTCCTGCACCTGCTGTCTCTAGAAGTTCTGGATGACATCCCCCAGATCCCCCAGCCAGGCAGATGGAAGATGCTGGGTAATGTAGTCCCAGCTCATTTGCAGGGCACCAGCTAGGGAAGCCTGACATACATTCCCAACTGTTTCAGGAATCCTTGCAAGAATACTTTATGGCAGGCTAGCAGTATTGGTTCCCTGTTTCAGGTATGCACAGGGGACTAACAGTGGAAGATGGCAGCTTGCGTAAGTCACCGTATGAGCTCATAACAGACCTGAGATTTGATCCAAGGACTTCCTGCTTTGCAGCTCCATGACTCTCACCACTACTGCACCACTACCTTTTCTCCCCTCTCCTTCACCACCCCAGATAAGAGTTCACTCAGTACTTCCTTTCCAGAGCGCGGAGCTGGAACCCGAGGATAGCGGGGGGGCTCATTCCCAGAAACAGAAGATTTCCTTTCTTGAGAACAACCTGGAACAACTTACAAAGGTTCACAAACAGGTGAGTAGATGGGATGGAAGCCAAGCAATGGCAGTGGGGGGGGGCAAGTGGGGGGTGGGGTACACTGGCTGGGTGAAGCAGCTGGTGAGCCCAGCCCTACTGTTCCTCCTCATCCTCTGGGTGGGAAACCCCTCCCCCTCTCCCATCCAGCATTGTCTCCATGCATTGCCGTAGCAGCTCTGAATGTTTGCTCATGACATCCCCTCCTTGGCTGGCAAGGCCGCCTGAATGTTTTCCCAGTTCTTGTCACCCGCCGTACGCCGCTGGCACAGAACACTGCATGAGCATGCCACACAGCTTCCTTGGGAGACTCATAGGCACATCATGCTCAGCAACCACAGCCATCCTTGCTGGCCAGAATGATGGAAATTGTATTCTCTCACCACCGGGAGAACTCCAGGTTGGGGGAGGCTGGCTTAGATCCTCTCCTTCTACCTTTTCGCAACAATTGAGTCACTCCTGCCAACATAAGTGGCAGACTTATATCTGTGTAGACTTTAAAATCATCACAGACTTCTAGCTTGTGCTGACCTGTCTGCTGTTTTCTGTCAGCCTGCCATGTTGTGCTCATCCTTACTGTGCTATTGACTACCAACATTTGCCAGGTAATGCCCTTAGAACAGGTGTGGGAATCCTGTAAAGCTTGGACCAATTCATTTTAAGAACACAGATCATGCACAAGTTCCTCTGAAAAAGTCATGGGAAGCTGTATCAAGAAATATTTTTAAAGGAGCTGAAGTTTAGACAGCTAGCTGACAGCTCCTATAAAAAGGGGATGCTTTGCACTTTCCCACCTTCCTAAGCATCCAAAATCTCAAGAAAGGGTGGGAAAGTGAGAGGAGGTTTAGAAGAGTCAGGTCTAAAAATAAAAAAAAACCCGTGAGGTTCTTGCCACAATGAGGGTGGCCACCTGCTTTTCATAGCAGGACTGTTCATAGCTTTGCTTTCTTGACAACTCATGTTTTGACAGATGTTGAGGGAAAGCAAACTCAAAAATAAAGCTCTTGGCAAACTCTCTTGGTCAGTGCTCATGAGACACCCCAAGACATTGCCTCATAGAGGCATGAAAGTGCAAGTGCACACTTACAAATGTCCAGCTAAATTTTTTTTTAAAAAAAACAGTGTGTGCATATTTGGGGTATAAACTTTGGTTTTTTTTTTTTTTTTAAAGACTGAGGGAGCAGTGGTTGCCCCTTCAGCGTACAGCTTTGGCACTTTGAAGGGGCTGTCACTAGCTGTCAAACTGGAGAGTGCTTTTTGATATCTTTGGAAAAAAAGAGAAACAATAAGAGTTAAATTGGGGAAAAACTGACAAAGTCATTGCAAGAGCAAAAGGGCTCGTGACTGTGGCAGGGGACATGGAGCCGGTTCCAGTCACCCCAAAGTGCTGCTTGGGCACTTGTGAGGTGTTTGGCAATGCGCTAGCATTCACTCAGGGAAGCTTGGCAAGAACAACAAGTAGGTTTTGTTGCTTTTTCCAAAAGGCTCACTCACCATTTCCTGGTACGACCATTTCCTGGTACCTACAATGAGATTGGTCATCCAAATTCAGATGACATGACAACCCATTGTCCATAAAGCAACTCCTAGAACAAGCTGTGGATTTTCAGGGTTGCTTGTTGCCCTCAGACAAGCCATCCTGTAGGAAATGGACTGGGTTTGCTTAACACAACAGCCCATTATGGCTTGTCACCGATGATGCATTATTGTGTCATGTGAACCCAGTCATTCAAGATAGGCTGTCCCGTCTGTTGTCATGATTCCAGGTTTTGCCTGGATCTTACCATAAGAGTGATCTGAATAGGAAAGAAGGGCAACGAGGCAAGATCCTCCACTTTGAAAATTGTGGAAGGCTGTAGGGCATGGAAGGCAGAAGAGGCATTGGCCTGGCTGGGAGCAAGGAAGTTAAAGCACACCAAGTTTGATTATGAACCTATAAAGGTTACCATATATCATATCAGGCAATTGATCTATTTAGCTCTATCTGATCTCCTTTAATGGCCAGCAACTCTATGGGGTGTAAAAAAAGAAGAACCTTTCCTATAAGCTGCTGCCTGTTCCTTTTATGTGAAGATGCCCAGGACTGGAGCTGGGACCTTTGGCATGTCCAGCATGGGCTCTCTCCCAGGGAACAGGTTAAATAGCACCTCTTCCTCTCTTAGCTTTACCATTTGTTGCTGTGTCGCACTGCCTACAACACTGTCCACAGTGGGCCAGTCAGATTCAGGACTTCTTCACACAGCACATAAACTGTGGAATCTACTGCCACAGGAGGTCCTGACGGCTACCAGTTTGGGCAGCTTTAAAAGAGCTCTGCATACCAGTTGAGGGGGAAGCTGAGCAGAAGGGTGCTGTCGTGCTCAGGCCTTGCTCGTGGGCTTGGTCTGGGCAGCTGGCTGGCAACTTTGTGAACAAAATGCTGGCCTAGGTGGACACTTGGTCTGATCCAGCATGGCCTGGTCCAGCGTGGCTCTTCTGGTGTCCCTATGTTTGCATGTGTGATTTCGGGAAGGTGGAGAAGGAATAATTGGGATCCAGATGCTGAATCACAAGCTGGCCTGAAGAGGGGAGAAGCAGGTGATGATGCTGTGACGAGAGTGGGAGGCTCGTGGCTCTTCTGCAGTTCCACGCCCCATTGGGGATTGTATTCCAAGTGAAGCAGTGGGATCAGTTGGTGCAGGCAGGGCCTGTGTGGGGTGGGGAAACAGGCTTACAATGGGCTGGCTTGACACTGGCTCAGTCCGTTCCTTGCCTTGCTTTCTTGTCCTCCACACTCGGTTTCCCTGGTGCGTGTTTGTGCCCATCCTTTCACACGTCAGTTTGTAACATTCTCCATGCTTTGATCTTGTTCACTCCACCCCCAAATTCGTTTGGCTTAGTTTTGGGGTGTGGGGAGGATGTTCTGCCCTACAGCAAAGCCCAAAGGAGAAGGAATTCCTTAATTTAGCTCCAGGGAGGGAGGGATGGAGGGAGGGGAATGGGCCAAAGCAAGATGGCATTTCCTCCCATTCTGTATCCAATAGCAAGTTGGGTTGGTAGCTGAATCTTTCTTCCACCCTGGCAATGGGATGCCATTGCCCAACTTACCTGAAGTGGTAGGCTATCTTAGGGGGAACAGGCACACCACGCAGCCTACAGGTATCTTCCTCTGGCACCTCGCTGTGCCTCCCAGTGAGACAACTGCTTCACTCTAATGGTAGGGCCAGCCCCAGGAAGGAAGGCTATTGTCCTCCAGCCATAGGCACATTTTTGCTGGGGCGTAAAGCTGTCCGTCTCCGTGGGTTTCCAGGTCAGGGTTTGGCTGGGGACTCTGTTGGTGTGCTCAGTCGCTGTCTATGTCCCCCTTTTCCCACTGCTGCTGCACCCTAGTTGGATCGCTGGGTCTCCAAGGTACCGTACGGCCTCTCCCCATATTCACCTGCCTGCTGGGCTGGGCAGGAAATGTTTGCACTTGGTGACCAAACTGGGCACATGGAATTTTTGGGGGAGTTGCAGAATGACAGGTGTCTTATTTCCACCTCACCCTTCCGCCACCCTGGCAACCCTTCCCATGTTGACTCTTGTGGGCATCCTCTGGTACTAGGCCATTCTTCACAAGCACGAACATCGTGGCCTGCATGGCTGATACAAAGATCCCATTTACAGCCTGATCATGTGTGTGGCTTCTACAGACAACCCTGGCCCCGAAATTTTGCCTGCCCAAAGGGAAAGAAATGCTTAAAGAAGGGCAAGCTGCTACTTGCTAAATTTGGAATGGCAGTTCTCTCCCCTCCACTTGGGACTAGGTGGGTGTGGAAAAGACTGGAAACAGGTAGCCTTGGACTCTAGGTAATCACAGATTGGGACCCTATAATTATCTGGAGTAGTAGGAAGCACACTTCCCCCCTGCCCGCCCCCTCACACACACCCCTGAGATCAGTCTCTGGTTGTGGGAGACAAATGTTACCATCTCAAACATTTTCTCCCCCTCCCTCGGAGGCTGCACAGCCCAGTGGCTCCCCTGCTCTTTTCTGTGGTGCTGGTGGCTACCCAGGTTGCTTGTTCACCTCATGCCATTGCGCTACCCCCCTTGCATGCGCTCGCCCACCTGCCTGTGTGTGATGAGAGGGCTCCTGGGAGTCTTGCCTTGGCCTGGAGGAGGGCCCGCCCTTCCTGGAATTTGCGCATCATGGTATCCCCCGCCACAAGCATGGTGCACGGCTTGGCTCTGTGGCACTTGGGTGAAGATTGGGCCTCACCAGCTTAGCGGGAACAAGGGGCGGGTGGCATTGGGTTGGGAGGGAGCCTATCACCCACATCCAGGCCAGCTGTAGGATACACGTCCTATGCCTCTAATAGGTGCACAATGAGGAGAACGTTGAGTGTGTACCATTCCATAGGCTTTCCCTTGACAGAAACAGCTTTTAATAAACAGTTATCATTGGCAGCTGTTTAAATTATTATTGCATTGCATTCATAGTCTGGCTTTTTCCTCTTGTGAGGAACCCAAGGAGACTTACATAGCTCCAATTTCTCCTCACAACAACAACCCTGTGAGGTAGGTTAGGTTGAGAGCGAGTGACTGGCCCAAAGTCACTCAGTGGCTGGGTAGGAACTAGGATCCAGGTTCCCCAGTCCAGTGCTCTAACCACTATACCACACTGGCTCTCAGTTCCCAAGAGACATCTCTTCAGCCTAGCAGCACTGGGGTCAGCTGTGCAGCATTATCGGACAGATATAGATTGAAAAGCAAAACAAGACTAAGTTGTCCAGGGCCACTGATGCTTGCCCTGAGATCAAAGACATGTCTGACAAACATGGGCTATGCAACAGTGTGGGAAGACAGGGACATGTGCAGCACTTCCCTCTAGGAAAGGGTGAACATGTTTCCAATGGGTGCAGCTTCTGGGAATAGGATCAGGAGGACAGGTGTGGTGTTGTGCACTTTTCTGGGAAAGAGAATGGAATGCCATGGAGCTGGAAGATGAGCAGGGTAGAAATGTGCCAGAGCAAGGCTGAGGCAGAGTTTCTCAGGCCTCGGGAACAAGTTCCCATGAGTCTCATCCTGGTTGTCTCTTCTCTCCCTTTCCCACTGGCTTGGGGACCCAGCTGGTTCGTGACAATGCAGATCTGCGTTGTGAGCTTCCTAAACTGGAGAAACGTCTTCGGGCTACGGCTGAGAGAGTTAAGGCCCTGGAGGGTGCACTGAAGGAGGCCAAAGAGGGCGCCATGAAAGATAAGCGTCGCTACCAGCAGGAAGTGGACCGTATCAAGGAGGCCGTGCGCTACAAGAACAGCATGAAGCGCAACCACTCCGCACAGATAGGTGAGCGAGTGGACTGGGTGTAGAAATTACGGATGGGAGAAAGATGAGCAGCGCAATCCCACCCATTTCCTTGGAACTGTGTCTCACTGCAATCAGCAGGACTTACTCCTTGGATTGTAGCCTGGGACACCAGAATGTTGTTATTTTTAGTAACTACCTCGAGTGTCATTTTTTGGGTGGACAGGTAGGAAAAATAAATGAACAAACATTTGTCCTAGAAAGGGCCATTTGACCAGTTCATTTATTTATTTATTACATTTATATCCCACTTTTCGACCTCTTGCAAAGGACCAAGGCAGCTTATAAGGTCCCCTTCCTCTCCATTTTATTCTCACAACAACAGGCTAAGGGTCATCAACTAGTTACTAGCCCAAAGTTCCCCAGTGAGCTTCATGACCAAGTGGGGACTAACTCCCAGACCTCCCAAGTCTCAGTCTAGCACTCTAGGCATCACTCCAGACTGCTTTTTGGTTCACCCAGCTTGTTTTAAGACCACTGTTAATAACAAGGAAGGCATTTGTCTGATTGGGCTCTTTTTCTTGACATGTGATGTTTTTCAGGGCTGTTCTGTGTGCACGCGCATGTGATTTTTTGCATCTCATTTTTTAAGCCAAAGGTCCTTGTGGGAACTAACAAGCAAAATGTACACAAAATCAACATGTATATGTGGACTTTTTGTCCAGCACATTAACTCCCCACAGAACTTACAATAATTGAGGATGAATAAAAAAGGAATGAACGTGCTGTATTACACCTGCCATTTGTGTCCCTTTGCAGCCAAACCAGTGCGGCCAGGAAGTCACTACCCTGCCTCATCCCCCACCAACCCCTATGGTGTCCGCAGCTCTGACTGTATCAGCTACACCAACAGTCTCTTCCAGAACTATCAGAATGTCTATCTGCAGAATACTGGCAGCGCCGTGCCTGACAGCTAGTGAGTATTTTGTACCTCACTAACCCAAATCCTACCTTTAGCTCGCTCAATCAGTCAATCATTTCATTCCACTTCTATGCTGACCCATAACCTGAAGGTTCGCTGGGGGGCTTACAAATGCCAAGGCCAACTTGATAGACCTGCCCAATCTTCTTCCCAGCCCAGTTCATTAAAGACAGAGACTACGGCAGTCGTGGGAGCTGGGAGCGTCCAACATGCAGGGAGTTGGAGGAATCCTTTTCACAAAATTCTACTCAGGCTCTTGCTCTCCCACCTTAGTCAGATCTGGATCTTTGGCTCAACAGCTGAGGCTTCTACTAAGGCAAGGTCAAGCTGTGGGGCTTTCTTTAGTCCAGAGTGGAGCTTTAAAATCATTTTATGGAGCAGGCAAGCATCATGGCTTCAAGGCTTCATGGTACTTCATCTGACCACATGAAAATTACTTTGTCCTGAGAATTTCTGTAGGAAGACCTGATATTGCAGATGCTCGTAAAGACTGTGACTCAGCCAAAAAATGGTCCAACCTATTCTTTGAAGATTTACTAAGATGTATTCAGTTGTCATCTGGAGATGCAACCTGTTTGCAAGATTACTGCAGCATGCACAGAGCCATTGGAGAGGGGGAAAGAATTGTGTTGATCTTAAGACATAAAAGCATGACTACTGCTATTAGCCTTCAGCCAGGGGTGTAAGGTTCAGGATGGAGAAGCAAAGGCAGATATGGCCAATTTGGAAATCAATGGTTTCACCCAGACTGGTGATCTTATTGGTCTTTTCATCTAATTGTCATAGATGTGGTCTGATTTCATTCACTATACAGACCTTGCAGACTTTTGCAATTCATCATATGCCCCTTTTCCCCAATCTAGAGGGAACATGCATCCTCTCTCCTCAAGTCTCTTACTTTGGTTTTCAAGTCCAACAGCCATTTAAGGGGCTGCTGAAAGTCTCCCCTGCATCATAAGTCCCAGTTTTGATCTAACAGGATCAGACTGAAGTATCTGAGCCTAAACAGTCCTCAGCATGTCCAAGCACCATAGGCCTCCATTCAACCCTCAAAAAGTACTTTCTCCCTTTCTGCCTATCCAGCTTTACCAATGCCTCTTCCAGCATCGGAAGCAGCTCCTCCAGTGCCCCTCTGACCTCCTATCAGAAACTCAATGTGGATAATGGTAAGGGGACTAGTGGGGGAGAGGCAGCAAGGGGTAGGGGGCAACTTATGGCTCTCCAGATATGTGGGCCTACACATCTCATTAGCCCTGGTCAGCACCTCATTCTGGTAATGAGGAAGGAGCATGTCTCAGAAAGATGCCTCTCGTTCTTAGATTTGTCTGCATCTGGGTCTAACAAGTGCCCAGTGATCCAATCATTCTGTCCCATGACCCAAAGCTTAGAAATTGGGATAGAAGGAATACTTCCACTCGCAGAAAAGCCAAGGGTGGGAGCGGTGGCAACCAAGGAGAGGAAAAAGACCAGGGAACAGCCACCATGTTTGAAATCACACCAGAATATGGCCGCATCATCAGCACGAAAAACCTGTGACCCTCTAGATATCACTGGATCCCCATTCCCATCAGCCCCAGCTAGCACAGCCAATGGTGAGGGATGATAGTTGTTGGTGATGTTGATAGTTGATGTTGTTTCAACAGCTGGAGGGATACATTGCTTTACAGTGATATTCATAACGTGGGCAGCGCTGAGAGGTTGTACCTGATTTCCTCTCTGTTGCCATGGAGCTGCTCTGCAAAGCAGTACTAATTTTGCACGTCTGGGCTGGCTTTAGAGTGGGTGGCATTTATTCTCTTGGGATTGGGATTAGCTCCTCTCCCAACACTAACGCGGCCATGTTTGTCTTTCCATGCTCTTCTGGACTGGTGGTGCAGGAAATGCCACAGACATCAATGATAACAGGTGAGAAGCCACACTTGTGCAGGGAAGAATCCCTAAGCCTTGAGTGCAAGAACTGCCCCAGCCAGTGAGAGCCTGGCTCCAGGGAAGGCTGGATCCTTTTGTCTGCAAAGGAGGGGAACAACACTGAAGTGGGGCAGAGAGGTCTGGGTTACCATGGATTAGCTTTCCCTCCCCTGCAAACTCTCTTTCCTTCTCCTGTAGAAGTGACCTGCCCTGCAGCATTGAAGCAGATGAGCAAGCCAAGCTCTACCCACTTCACCAGGAGACCGCAGCTAGCTAATAGCAACAGCGCCACCAACTGCCCAGGGGGCCTCAACACACCATCAGGTACAATCCCTCATCCGCTCTACACCACAGCTAACCACTTTTGTTGGAACACTAACGTGGCCTCTTCCCATAAACCTATTAGCTCTGTCTTTTAGTTTCCTCTAATTATATTTCTTGCCAGATTTGCCAAATTTCCTTTCATTAAAAAAAATCAGTGCATGTTTTAGGGAACACATACCTATCCAATTGTATAGGATCAATGTGTATCTTTTGTGTGTTCCGTGACAGGCAGAAAGCATCGCCTGACATGCACGCAATTTGGTATTGGGTACATACTGGCATCTTTAACAATCCCAGCTTTCATTAAAAACTGACGAAAAAAGCAATTTCCTTTTCATTCTGGCTGAGAAGATAAGCTCACAAACACAAGGGAAATCTCTATAGGAGGGTTACATTCTTGAGATAAGGACCTACACACACATAGCCCTCCAGCTGTGTTAGACTACAACTCCCAGTCATGCTGGGACTTATAGTACAGTAAAACTGAAGGGTCAAGAAGCAACAGTGAGAACTGGACACGGAACCACGGATTGGTTCAAAATTGGGAAAGGAGTTCGGCAAGGCTGTATACTGTCGCCCTGCCTATTTAACTTATATGCAGAGCACATCATGAGAAAAGCGGGACTAGATGAATCACCAGTTGAAATTAAAGATTGCTGGGAGAATATCAACAACCTCAGATATGCAGATGATACCACTCTCATGGCAGAAAGTGAAGAGGAACTAAAGAGCCTCTTGATACGGGTGAAGGAGGAGAGCGCAAAAGTTGGCTTGAAACTCAACATTAAGAAAACTAAGATCATGGCATCCGGTCCTCTCACTTCCTGGCATATAGATGGGGAAGAAATGGAGGTAGTGACAGCTTTTATTTTCCTGGGCTCCAAGATCACCACAGATGGGGACTGCAGCCAAGAAATTAAAAGACGCTTGCTCCTGGGGAGGAAAGCTATGGCAAATCTAGACAGCATACCAAAAAGCAGAGACATCACCCTGCCAACAAAAGTATGTATAGCCAAGGCTATGGTTTTCCCAGTTGCAATGTATGGCTGTGAAAGTTGGACCATAAGGAAGGCTGAGCGCCAAAGGATTGAGGCCTTTGAATTGTGCTGCTGGCGGAGACTCCTGTGAGTCCCTTGGACCGCAAGGCGATCAAACCGGTCAGTCCTAGAGGGGATCAACCCTGGCTGCTCCTTAGTAGGCCAGATGCTGAAGATGAAACTCGAATACTTTGGCCACCTAATGAGAAGGAAGGACTCCCTGGAGAAGAGTCTAATGCTGGGAACAATAGGTGGCAAAAGGAGAAGGGAACGGCAGAGAATGAGGTGGCTGGTTGGAGTCACTGAAGCAGTTGGTGTGAGCTTGAGTGGACTCCGGGGGATGGTGGAGGACAGAAAGTCCTGGAGGAATGTTGTCCATGGGGTTGCGATTGGTCAGACATGACTTCGCAACTAACAACAACAACTGAAGGGTGTCAAATTGGGGAAGGCTGACGCACTTGCCTTGGGTTGGGTTGGAATCCACCTCATTCAGCTCCTTATACTGCATAAATATGGATAAAACCAAGTTGCATACCAAGCACATACTCAGTGTGTGTACACGTCTTTTCTGAAAGCTGTCTAGGGTAACTTTTGGTCTGATCCAAGAGCGCAAATCTTATCTTCAGTAAGAGGGAGGGGCGGAAATGTGTTTTAGAAGCCAGGGTTCTGCTCTGCTCACAGGACGCAGCTGGGTGGGAGCCTGCCTTCTCAAGCCCAGCCCTGCCAACCTTCCCCTCCTTTCTTCTCTTTCTCTCCTCTTAGTTTCTAATTGGGACGGAAGCCTCAACTCTGCATGCTGCAGCCCGGCTTTCCATGACCTCTGCTACAAATGGGCCGTTTGTGTGTTCTGCTCTCTCCGTATCCTGTATATTTATCCAGCTGCTGCTTTACTCTCACTGTTTCTCTGTCCTGCTCACTCAACTAGACGATATACTCACTTAGTTCCCTGGGACCCCTGCTCCTTAGCCCAGGAGGCAGGTGCCCTCTTCTTTCCTGCCTCAGTTGCCTTAAGGGACTGGCTGCCATTGAAGAACCCCTGCTGTGGGAACCGGTTCATGCCTGAGAAAAGGGGCATAAGGCACTTTCCTTGTATCACATTGATCCTAGCCTGGCACCCAGCAATGGGTCTCCCTCTGCTCTCCGCTGTCTCCCACCCACTAGGCCTTACCATTATGGCCTGTGGGCACTGCTCACCTCCAGATTACTTGCTTGGTGGGCTGGAAATGTTGCCTGCTGTGTTGGCTACCTCTGCAGGAAGGCCTTGTGCTTCAGCACACCTGGCTGTTATTCTTCTAGGGTGTTTCTCAAGGAGCATAAAAAGCAGGCAACCAGATTTGCACTTTGGAGCCCACCATTGTTCTTGAGCTGGAATCTTCTTCGTACTTGAACTTGTACATTTTTCCTGGATATACCTGTAAGCTAGAGTCAATCTGGCACTTCAGCAATATCGAGGGCCCTTTTCTGCAGAAGGGAGCTAATTATTCCTTGCTTTCACAGCTCTGCTACTCATCTTCTTTGGCTGCTCTAGCAGCATTAAGGAAGGCTGCCTGTCCTTGGTGAAATTGGTCATCTGCTGATGTTTGGGGTGCACAATTGATGTTTCCTCATTGGGGAAGGAAGTGCACAACTGTGGGGACAGCAGGAGATAAAGGAGATGGGCAGTTTCTGTGCGAGCCAGCAACTGAGCAAAGGAACACGGGCTCCTTTTCTTTCTAAAGAGGGGAAGACAAGTTAGTTGGGGTGGGAGGAGGATTAGCTGGAGAGCAAGTGTCCCAGTTAACTGCAGCCACTGCACAGTCAAGAGGCCAGGCTCGGGTCCAGTGATTCTGCAAAGTAGGACAAAACAAGGCTGCTATCAACACATTTTTGGTTGTTCCTTTTTTGTGTCTCTTGATAGCTGGGTCAGTGGCCTTTATAGTCTATGTTTCCATGTACAACCCCCTAAGGGGAACAGTGAGTCAACTGCACATTTCCCACTAATGTCACCACCTCTGATACCACACAGAGCAGACAGGGTTATGGGGGGAATGGTTGCTCTTATGGGGAAATCTCAGGGGTGCTTGCTGTCAGACTTTTGAACAGCAGTAATCCTGGTGGACCTTCTTGCTGGAGCCGCTGACAACCCATCACTTTACCCCTGACTGCTCAAATCACACCAAATGTTGCATGTCAAAATAATAAAAACTTTATTTAAAAAATAAATGAACAAATATGTTAAAAAAGAACAGGGTTGTCATGTGTCAATTAAAAGCATGTAGAAGAACTGGAAAAACTGCAAGAAGAACATACAAAATGATCTGAGCTATATCCTTGTGAGAGATTCAAAATATCAATTCATTGCAATGCTGGTATCAAAAGACAAAAGATGCTTGGTAGGAAAAACACCATATTGGCCAGGCCAGCTTAGGATGTTGCAGGAATATTCAGACTTCTGAGTTTCACAGAACTCTTTGCCATAAATGATGAAAGGGAACAAGATTGCCAGTATTCAAAAAATGAGGGAAACATGTTGGAAAAACATCACTAATTATGCTGGGAAAACATCTGCATTACCAACACTACTGTAGCTACACTGTCAAAACAATTGCATTGTTGGTAAGGGCAATTTGTCTAACTAAGAGTACAGTCCAGTGCGGACGCTCATAAGCCTCCAGATCCTATGCAGAAGGCTCCTGCCACCTTGCAAATCCACCAGATGGCCAGTTTCAGCCATTTATAGCTGCATAAGGAAGGAAGGAGGCTGGAGTGCTGCCAGAATATGTTGTATCCTGGCAGCTCCCATCTTTTCCCCTTTGAATATCCTCTACAGGCTCAAAGAAGCAACCATTGTGGTTCTTTCTACACTGCTACAGAAGCATTCCCCCCCTCCCCTCGTTCAGAAGTTGAAGGACACTTCTGACTTTGGAACTGGAAATCTCAAGCAACCTGTGACTTTCTAGATATTGTCTAGGGGCCCTGGGATCACACTGTATGCTACAGATGGCTGATGGCATTTACATGGCTGAATATCTAACAGAACATTCCATTTTTTGCAATTAACCTACTATAGACCATTGTAACAATTCCAAAAACAGCTCCCTTCTGATTTTGTCAATTGGTCAGACTTGTCTTGCAAAATAAGTTTATCCTAATAGTCAAAACATACTTTGGCCCTCAATTTAATTCACAAAGAAAATTGGTTTCAGATAGTGTGCAGTAGAACTTAGTCCATATTTTAATGTTGCATCTTTCTCTTCATATTGAGCTAGTGGTGACTGATCGAGAAAGGAATCTTAGGGTGGTGATGGACAGCAAGATTAAAATGTTGACCCAATTCCGAGCAGCAGTGAAAAAGACAAACTCCATGTTAGGCATAATTAGGAAAGGAAAATAAAACTACCAAGATTGTACTCCCCTTATACAAATCTTTGATGTGGCTGCACTTAGACTTTTGTTCTGGTCACTGTAGCTGAAAAAGGACATGACTGAGTTCGAAAAATTGCAGATAAGGCCAACTGAAATTATGAAGGGTTTTGAGCAACTTCCCGATGAGGAATGGCCACAATTGGGATTGTTTAGCTTAGGAAACAGATGAGTAAGGAGATACATGTTTTAGGTGTGTAGAAGTATGCATGGTATGGAGAAGTGGAGAGAAATAAATTCTTTTCCCTCTCTCCAAATACAAGAACCCACATTCACACCATGAAACTAATTGGTGGGAGAATCAGGACAGATAAAAGAAAGTACTTAGTGCATAGTTGAACTATGGAATTCACTGTTACAGGAAGTAGTAATGGCCACCAGTGCAAAAATTTAATGACACCTTAATGTTGACCAAGATTTTAATGACACCTTAAATTCAGAACAAATCACCATTAGTTGTTTCTTGGAATAGATCACAAACATTTGATGTAGCCTGTACTTCATCCCTGATATTAACACTACCATTTGTAGATTTTGTTTCAAGAAAACCAGTGTCTGGTTATCCCTGTGATGACTGGCTATTGGGAAGGAATTTTAATTAAGTAGCACAGCCTATGTATTGAGTGCGAAAGATCATGGGTTGAGTTTCTGACAATGCCAGGTAGCAAGAGATGTGAACCTCGGAAACCTGCTACCAGACAGACTAGAGAATACCAGGCTATGCCGACAACAGACTTGAATCTACGCCTATGACTCAAATCACAATGAAGGTTGTTTCCTTTTTAAGCTTACCACTTGAAACAACAGGCTGACTTTCGTGCATAAACAGGAGCTGATGGAGCAAACTTATGTCTCAGAAAGTTTCCAGCTAAAATCTTGAGTAAAAGCTCACTGTGGCTTTAGAAAACTAGTTACTGTCTTCTAGGCTTATTCCCTTATCTGCGAAACAGTGATGATGCAATACTGGCTGACAATAGAGCAGAATAGAAGTGGGGTTGGAAAGCTCCTCTGAGGCCACTGAATCAAACCACCCGCTCTGCTTCCACATATGGCCATCCATCCTGCTGCAGGCCCACACCTTTCCAGCTTAGCAAAGGTGACTCAACATACTAGCTCAATGTCTACCTATACGGTACCTTGCATTAGCAGTGATAATGTTAAGAAACACCATGACAATGTAAAGTAAGCATTACGAGCACCTGAAATGTGGTAAATGCTTAGTAGCATTAAATTGTAGCCCGCAATTTCAAGTGGCACAGTGGCTGGCATTCCTATGAACAAATTTACTTTGGAGCAGACACCCTAATTTGGTCAAGGCACCATACATGACCGTCATGAGTACGTGTGAGCAGATGGGCTGCTAAGAGCAGGGCTAACAGGGGTGCTGTGTTTGAAATGCTCTCATTCTTGACAGCTGCTCAACTGCTAGGCAGAACTCCTACTACTCTTTTACGAAGATTCTATTCCTTTGACAGATGCATAAGAAAGAGACGTTCACCAACAGCTGGCTTAAAAGAAAAGGTACCTGTTGCATAGCCTGTCCTACCTGCTGCATAGCTGTGATTAGATGCAGTAGATACAGTCAAGGGAAACAAACGCTGCCATTTTCAGAATGGCTTTATGTTCCATTTATGTTTACCACACACACCCCACTACTTACTTTACCAAGGACCCAGTGAATCAAGCAACTTCCTCCTCCAGGTATTTTCAAACTCATTTCAGTCATCCCTTTGGTGGCTCTATTGTGCGCTTGCCCAATATGATCTTCATGCTCCCTATTGAGACAAAAGAAGAGTATCAGAACCACCTACTATCCCAGTTCTGACTAGTTCCTCTGCTCCAAATTTCAGCAGTGTTGAGTGTTGTCCCACAGCCCTGCTTTGCCTTGCCAGGCAAAGCATATACACGGTCTTACAGCTTTCCACCATAAAAATTCCAAGGACATCATTCTACTCCCATTAGATCCGCTGGCTGGGAAATGCTGAGAATTGTAGTTCAGCCCATCTGGAGGGCACCAGATAGGAAAGGGCTGTGTTCATTCCACAATGGCAGGTTTCAACTGCAACGAAGAATCCTGTGGCACCTTAGGCAGTTTTTCCCAATCTGGTGCTCTCCGAATAATCTTAGACTTCCATCTCTCCGCATGGCCAAGGGTCAGGAATTCTGGGATCTGCAGCCCAAGAAATGTGAAAGACACCAAGTTGGAGAAGGCTGTCTTGAAGACTAAAATAAACAAGTAGGGAAGGCGCTTTTTTGTCTTAAGACAGAAGAGAAAAAAATAGTCCGAAGAACCTTCTATTATGCTCAACATAATATAGTTGAGCATAAAGTTTCGAAAAGAACTTTCCTTCTTCAGTCTTCGGATGCATTTTAAGACAGAATAAACACTGGAAAGGCTTTTTAAGACAGATTTGGAGAAAGAAAAGTGTTCCCTAAGGAAGAAGATCCCATATCCGGAACACACTGGGCGTAACAAAAGCCACCTGAGAGAATTTTTCGTTTTGAGGCTTAGAGTTTATTCTGACCCGCAGTTTATCCGTGGATGCTGTCCATTGCCCCAGGAAGGAAGTGTCTAGAAACGTTTAATCCAGAATAAAGCTGTTAGTCTTTAGAGTGGCACAAGTCTCTTCGTCGTTCATGTAGATGAACGCGGCCACCCCCGAAAAGTGGTTCGGTCATGAGCCGGAAGTGCAGGTTGCGTCTGCCGGTCTCTAGACGCAACTCTCCGTCACAGGCTTCCTCGCGTCACGTGTCGACGGAATCAGCTGATTGTTCTTTCCGTTGCCGGCGGCAAGGCTGAGCCAGAGGGAGAGGCTGGCAGGCGGGCGAGCGGTCGGGCGCGGCAGGGATGGCAGCCGCGGTGGGGCCGGGAACCCGCACGAAGACCAAGAAGAAGCACTTCGTGCCGCAGCGCGTGAAGGTGCTGCGGTCGGCCAACCCTCTGCTGGGCGTCTTGGGTTGGGGGATCAACCACCAGGTAACCCGCTGGGTCTCACCCTTCCTCGTGTGGGGTGAGAGGTGGGGTCTCCCCTTGCAGGATCTGTGGCTGGGAGGGAGGAAGGGCGGTTCTCACTCTGAACCTATTCACAAGCCCGCCCTTGTTCAGCACTGGGCGTGCTGCAAGAGCCTCCGCCGAGGCTGACCTTGGTGTCATGCCAGTCTCTTCCCAGAACCATGTTTTATTTCTCCTTGCTTCGGCATGCAATAGCTCAGCCCGCGTGGCTGACTGGCGATGCCTGGAGTAGTACTCTAACACGTCTAGAGGGCAGCAGGGCACAGAGGCTATCGGGGCCATCGTTTCTGCCCTCTTCTACCTGGGCCACCCCCTGGTCCACGCCTTCAGTTTTCCAGTTTTATAAGACACAAGAAGAGGGACTGAAAGGAAACGGAGGAAAAAAAGACAATAGATTCCGTTGCCTAGAGAGATGAGAATATACCAATTCTGGCATCAGTGGTACTCAAGTTTTCTGGTCTGGCATGTTAATTGGGACCCTATTCCACTTTTCTTTCTTCTCTTCTGCAATTTCTCATTTTGCTTCTTGGGCATGTGTTCAAGCTTAATCTGTACCTTTTTAAATGGTGTCTTATTCTTCTGGTTTGTATTTATCATAAGCCCTTTATTGTTGTAAACTCTTTGGAATGCATACTAAAGAATTGTATTATTGAAATATTTCACATTAAATGTTTTTAAAGGAAGGTAATTTAAATGTTTTTAAAATTCTGGTAATTTAAGTAAATTGATTGCTGAACTGATGTCGAATGATGGCTCTCTACACTGTGGGATCTAGCACTGGGGACTGTGCTGGAGGAATCATTATCAAGTTTTGGCACTGAAGCAACAAAAAACCGACACATTTCCCCCAAGATTGCTTCCTTTTCCTGTTGCCATTACTGCCTGCCTTGCTACAAAGTCTAGTGAATCATACTTTCCTACCTGATCCTAGTTTTGCTCAGGAAGTTTTTGAGTCATGCATCACCCAGATGCAACTCTTAAGTTTGCCTTCTGAGAGAGATGTTTGATTAGATTTTCCTTCCTCATTGTGATGCTGTAGCAACCTGTATGCATGTTTTTCTTGTCTTATTTATTTATTTATTTATATCATTTTTATGTCGCACCCATCGCAGAAAGCCTAGGGGCAGCTTCCAAGGCAGGTAAAACATAGAATAGGATGACATTAAAAATTCAGAATATCTCGGCCATAATTTAAAACCAATAAATAAAAACAACAAATTATGTGGTATTTGTAAAACGGTTCCATATAGCAGAGCTGTGCAGGCTTCAAACTTGCAGGATCTACTTTTCAGAAGAACCTGAAGAGCCTGGTACAAAAGGCATGCACTTAGAAGTAAATACCCCTGGGCCCAGGAATTTGTTTTGTGTACAAAAGCTTAATGGAGCTCACAGTTCTTCTATACAGAAATCCACTTCTGCTTACCCCAAGCTTTCTTCATTTCAGCAGTATATTGTTTGGGGGAGGGGAGCAGAGTAATGATTGTGTTGTTGCTGTTGGGGAACAAGTGGGGCACAGAAATCTACATTAAATTTCTCAGTCCATCCATAGATCCAGTCCTATATTCTGCCCACTCCTGAAATACAGCATCTGTGCAGGAAGGTGGGGCAGATACCCTCATGATTTTAGAATTCAGCCTTCTGCATGCTTAAACAGAGCCTTACAATGCACAGTATTCCCTAGCCATTTTTCATCACTGTTGCTCTTCTTTCTTTTTTAGAAAAGGGGGATAGGTTTTGCATATTGCAGGACACAAGGATTTGTGTCAAGGACTCTCAGTGTAGATTCTTGGTCAGAAGTGGGCAGCTTGGTCCCCTGCAGATTGTTTGAACTACACCCCTCCATCCCTAACCACCATGGCCTGTGAAGGGGGTTGTAATCCAAACTTCTGGTGAGTACCATAATTCTCTGCTCATTTAGGTGTTCTGGCTCTTGATTCCTTATTTCAGGAGTGTAGAACCTCAGGCCTGGGAGCTGAATCTAGCCTTTGAAGTTCTCTAGAAGGCTGTGCCTCTTCCCCTTGGCCCAAGCCACTTTCTCTGACCACCAATCATTGAGTGGTTTCCTGGCTTTCCTCATAAGGCTAAGTTGCTGGCAGAAAGAGCTGTAAACTAAAATATGCTGGCTTTTTTCACCCTTTGGCATTCCACTGGAATGCAGCTCCTCAAGAGCCTCTCCAAAATGGAATGTGGCTTTTGGGCTAAAAAAAAGTTTTGGTATCCCTGCTTTAGGTAGAATACATATTCAGTAGGAAAACCAAGTGCGTTTAGGTAGTGAATGCCCCAGTGTTTGAGCTCAGCGTGACAGACTGGATATCTCATTGAGGGACCCCTCCAGAGAATAAGAGAGAGCTTATCTGGGCACTGCAGAAATGTAAAGAATGCAGTGTTCTGATAACTGTGCTAAAGAATTTGAAGGAAAGCTGCAGTTGCTGTCCCAGATCCAGAGGCATCTTCTGTGATGTCGAACCTGCCCTCACGGATGCTTTGAAGGGAGTTGCTTTCCTGATCTTGGATGGGAAGTGCATTAACCAACACCTGGAAACATCACAGGCCTAGAACCGTCAGTGCATATTTTTACATGATGTGTGTTCCTATCTTAGGTAGGAAGACTACATGCTATTGTTGACTCTCCCTTAGCATGGCTGACCCCATTTCCTCTTATTCCAGCAGTTCTATGATCACAAGGGGTGTGTGTGTGTGAGAGAGAGAGAGAACGTGAGTGAGAGCACGCGAGCATCTGAATGCCATGGTACAGCATCAGAAGAATTCAGATTCTGAAAGAAAGGAGGCGGCTGGTACGTGGGCCTTGTCGCATGCCCTTCTGCCTTGCAAACTGTCTTTTATTGCTGTAGGCGTAGCCTTTCAAAGTACGCAAAGCTGAATGCTTCCTTCCGTTTTGCCCTTTGGTGCTTCCAAAGTGTGACTGCTAAATTTGTATTCATGCTTAAAAATAAATTGTACTGAGGCTTATGTTCCCCCACCACTGCCCCAAGAAATTACGAAAAATAGATCTTGTGAAATTAAAACATTTGTCTTGGTATCTATCGCTTTGTCTGGTTGGAAACTATCTGGGTATAGTATCCTGGCTGGCCATTCCCAAATCATTGTAACATCTGATTTTAACCTCTCAAGCCCATGTGTGCACTTTTTCCTCTATATGGGAATGAACATTGATGGTAGCTATCTTTTGGTTTCCATTTAGACCTCCCTTGCTAACACACAAGCAATGTTGGCTCAGATAGCTAGCTCTCTTCTGGCTCTTGCTGTGTAGTAGGAACAATACCAAAGTAACTGAATAATGATCCATATGGCAGTATACGAATGCTTAGCAATCTCCTAATCTTCTCCCTGTAATATCCATTCAAGCTGCTGGTGGTTTTTCCTTCCCATTAGAGCAGGGATGGGGAACCTAAGGCCGGAGCCCAAACTTGGCCTTCTTGGAGCCCCATCCTGGCTCATTGGAGTAGCTTGGACCTACCTCTTCGGTGGTTGCCTGGCTTTTACACAGTTTCCCTATTCTATAAGGCTGAGATGCTTCCCATATGACTTAGTTTCTGGCAGTAAGAATTTTAAGCTATGATATATTGGATTTTTAAAATTTACAGCCTCATCCTTCCCCTTGGTTGCACCCACTGCTAGAATGCAGCTTTCGAGAGCTTCTTTAAAATAGAATTCAGCCTTCAGCCTGAAAGTGTTTCCCTAGCTTTGTATAAGAGAAAGGAACTAGAGCGGACCATACCCTTGGATCACCTGGGTTCACTGGCTTGGGCAAGACATTTCTTCTTGGCCTCAATTTCCCATCTGGGTCCTCAAACTTTGGTATACATTCCACCAAATGGAGATGAGTGCTCAGTTCTAGGGAAGGAAAAGATGTTACAGCATGCTGAGTTGGAAATATTCCTCCAAGCATGAGAAAACAAGCACTCAGTCTACCAGAAATGCTCTGCTAACCAGAAAAGCTGCAGAGAGATGGAGAACATTACCCAACGGCTGTTTCTAGGCTGGCTCCCAGCTCATTTCTCTTCATAGCGATGGTTCATTGCGTTTGTGGAGAGGGAGAGCAAACCACAGCAACCAAATAACCTGTAAAATCTACAGGGTCAATATCAAAATGTTTGCAGATTGTGCTAAACTGAGTCCAAATCCTGGACAAATCTCTCTTGCTGCTTTTCAGGGTTGTTGCTTCATTAAAAATGTACCAGCTATTTGCAACTAAATGCACATGTTTCTGAAAATCAGCTGGAAAAACAGTATGAAATCCAAGCTGTTCTGCTAGTTGGAGTCAGAATGGTTGGGTTGGTGCCAGGATTAGGTAGTACAAGCAACAATGTTAAAGGTGTTCAGGGGCTCTCAGTGCAGGTAATTTACAGCAAAACGTAGGCAGGCTTCCTTTGGCACCGTCTCTGACATGCCAAGGTTATTGTGCCCTGGCAGAGAGTCAGACCACTTGCTGTTGCTGCCCTTTCTTGTTGTTTCTTGATGGGTAGTGGACAATCCTAGTACTCCTGCAGCCACTGCCCCCAAGATGGCTCCCCAGTGAGCCCTACATTGGCTGAATCACCTCAGTCCTTGGGGGTGATCTTATGGCTGAATCAAACCTTCCTATGGAAGGTATTTTGCTCCCAGTCTTCTCAATCTTTCCTCCCTGTGGCCTCATTCTTCTTGTAGTGGGGAGACCTCGGGCCCAGCAGGCAGGGGTGTGCTGGCCTTAGTCAGCTTTATGCATCACCTTCACTGCTGGAGACTCTTTGCTCCGCTGCGTCTGATTCCCACCATCCAAGCTTCTCTGCAGGTACGTGAGGCATTCCATGGCCAGGTAGGGTTCGCAGAACAGGAATTTATTTATTTAAAATATTTCTATGCCGCCCCCATCGCAACAAAGCCTCCGGGCGGCTCGCAAAGGATACATAAATGCATAAATAATAACAATGTAACAATTTAAAAAATTGTTTAAAAAAATTGTCCACTGTCCTCTTGGAGAACTTGGCCACTATGACAGCCGCCTTTCCAAGTGAAGTTGTTCTTATCAGGGTTGACTGAGATCTCCCAACCCCCGGCCCACCTTAATCAAGCTGGTAATACCTTCTGTTGTGCCTGTCTGATTAACTTCCAGTCATGCATGGCTTGCAAGGTGTGGATTCTTCCCCTCTGGATAATAGCAATTCCATACAGTGTTTGGTTTTCCCTAAACAACAGGACACTGCTCTGCAAGATCTGAGTGCTCCTATCCCAGTACTGGATCTTTCCCATTCTTTGTCCAAGGCCCTTGAGCCTGGTACCTCTGTGTTGTTCTACAAAGCAAAGAGCTCACCACCTAGGTAGCCCATCTTGGCACACCAGGACACTCACTGGCTGGATTCTGACAGCGCTGAGAAGAAGGGGAGCATGAAGAAAAGCTAGTGCAGCCCCACGCAGGAGGGAGCCACCGACAGGACCGAAAAGCACCACACATGGAGCCCCATCTTAAAGCACAAGCCCCTAGTGAGTTACAAGATACTTGCTTTCTGCATTTGCCCTCCCGGAGAGGTTTGGTCCTCCTGGCAAGGGAAAGTATGACATGAAACACCTCTGCTTGCAACTCTGTCTCTTTGGCTTGTGGCACGTTCTGTGCATGTTGCTCCTTGAATTCAGCATGCTGCTGGAATGGAGGGCAGCTTGGGAAGGTCAAGGTATTCCCACTGAGCTTCTTGGCCAGATGGGCTTTGTGCACAGATCTCCTAGTGGGAGGGCCTGTTGGTTACAGCACATGGGCTCAAATGTACTCTGCTTTGTCTACATGTTGCAAACCATCTTAGCAAGAGAAAATGGTATTGTCTCTACTTTTGCAAGTTGGTTAAACGCGGGGACGAGGAAAAGAGATTATTTTCCATCACCCCATTAAGTAGTTCTATTTTTGTTTTTCCCTGAAGTTCTTTACTGACCTCTCTCCACCCCCCTGCAATTAACCTGAAAGCTTGGAGACTGAGTTCTGCAATCAATCACTTGCCACAAATCACAATCTCTAATGTCTCACTATTAACCTGACAGTGGGAGGCCAAGCTAAGTGGTGTTTGCTAGCACTGAAATGGAAAATTTGAGGTTGTTACGATGACAGCTAGGAAAGCAGTCCATTCCTTGTTATTTGATTGCTGTTTCTGCTACTCCAGGTGGTATGCCAAGGCATTTAAAGATATACTAGGTTATCTAGAGGTTTGAGGCAATTACCCATCCCAGGCATTTTTTTTAACAAGGTCATTCTTCAGTGTAAAGTTTTAGTTGTATTTTTTGTTTCTTTTGATATGATAGTATGGTACAGGCAGTCCTCAGGTTACAAATGAGTTCCTTTCCTGAGAAAATGGAAATGTGTCTTTAAGTAAAATTTGTATGTAAGTCAGATCACATACAATTGGCCCTCCATGTTCATGGGATCCCTGTGAAAATGAGAAAACTGAATATTCCCCCCTCCAGGCCCAAAATCACCCATGCTGCCTCTTTGCAGCAAGGAAATGCTGCAGAGATTTCTCTCTCCAGATGTGTGGGGCAGGAAGGCATGCTTCAGATGCCTCCCTCTCTCCCCTTTTGCTTCATCTCTATGGTAATGCTTCAGAGGTCTCTCCCCTTTCACTTCCTCGCTCTCTGATGATGCTCTGGGGGTTCTCCCTCCTTCCTCCCTTGCTTCCCTTGGGGACTGCCTTTTTATATTATTGTTATTGTAGTGTTTTATTTATTGTTTCATGCACTGATGTCAACTGCCCAGGAAGTTCAGCTTTGGGGTGGTTTTCTCTATCAGAAGGCCTCTGACAGGCACATGGTAGGCATGTCATGAGCGGAGCTTGCTGGAGCCAGAGGTCAGACTATATGGCCCAGGAGACCCCTTCTGACTCGCTCTGTTTCTATGTATCTTTCTCCAGCGTACCAGAGAGCAGGCTTTTGGCCACACCTCTGTTTGCCTAACATATATGTAGGAGCCCTCTGGATCAGGCCAAAGGTGTCTCCAGTCAGCAGGCTGGTATCATGGTGGCTAATCAGATGCCCGATGGGAAACCTGCAATCAGGTTTCTGAACACAGTGTCCTGCTCATGTTGTTCTTGTTCCGTTTCTTCTGCCACATCCAGGCTCTTACAGATTGTTCACCACAGAGAAGCTGTCCCAGACAGTCCCACTGCTGTAGGCTTAATCAGTCATGTTGAAGCCTGAGCTGTATGAAAGCTGAATCGGTCCTGTTGGTGGGTGGCAGGACCTGAGGTACTCCTGTTATTCTTGGAGAGTTGTCGGAAACCACTGAACGGAAGCGCTGCTGTTTGAAGCTCAGCCGGTGCTGCCTCTGCTACCTGCCTTAGGAGATTGTGTGGGATCAGTATGTAAGCTGCTGTTGATTCTGCAGGGTAAATAGAGGAAAAATGCAGTAAATTCACAAATAACAGCAAAATGCACACGAAGTAATTACACTGTATTCACTGTTAGCACTGCATACCTACCACTTTTTCCCCCATACTGACGCATGTATGTGCATTGGAGCTCTACCTTTACATATTAGCAAAGCTGTGCTTATGCTGCGATTTTGTGGGAGCATGCGAAACCCACAGAAAATGGTTTTTTGTGTGAAGTTCAGCATCTTGAATAACCAGCATATAATTTATTTGTTTTACTGCAGGCAAGTTGCTAGTCCTTATGGTCATAAATATATGCTTGAAATTATGTTGCTAATGCCTGATGCAACCTCAGAAGCCAGAGAGGTGACTGAAGAAGTTTTCCTGTCATTGGGTGCTAAGCGTCAGTGTTCTCAATGGATCCAGACTATTCCATTCTTTTAATTATTATTTTCCTGTTTAAATTATGTGAAATAAGAATGAATGAGCAAGTTTACTTACTGTGCATAATCTGTGCACGTTGCAAATGAGCTTTTCTCGGTTTGGAATTGCTTTAATGCACTTTTTTAAGCAGCATGCCTAACAAATGTTCTTTCAGAGAATCTGTGCTAGAACTGAGCACTGAAAAGCTGAGGGAACCCCCACTTTCTCAGCTAAGGGACAGATATGACTTTACGATGTATCTGTTTCAGAGAGAGTTTTGACTGGGTGTCCCTGTTGCCTTACCCTTCCCATGAGCTTCCTCTAATTGACAGCCTAGCCTACCAAACTTGTTTGCAGTGCCGCTCTCTGAGGTCCATTGGCCTCTAGGCTCTGTTTCTGCTTGGAAAAACATGTCTGTGTAGGAAAAAGTAGGAAGCCAGCATTGGGTGACCAGCCACTGAGTACCAGTTGCTGCATTAGAAGTATGCCACTTGCGCACTTGATGGACTGGCATGTCATCATCTTCAAGGGGTAGGGTACAAGCAAACATGGGCTGCAGATGAGCTCACTGAGTGGCTGGCTGTTAAAACCTCCGTGCAAGGCTGGTTCAGACTGGCTCCTACTCTGATGCCTCCCTCACGGGAGAAAGGGATGTGACATTTATAGAAATATAGAGAGAGACTGAGAGAGAAGGACTATGGGCCAAGGTATTTGAAAGTTTGTGGAGGCTTTATGGTACATGCCATGTTACGGGCCCTGCGCTTCTCTAACACAGAAATTAAGAGTGGGCCTCCAGAAGTTTTGGCCTGTAATTGGCATCAGCCTTAGCCTGTGGTGATGGGTCAGGGAAGATGCAGGCCAGAACATCTGGAGGGCCAAAAGTTGTCCATCCCTGATATAACTCCATGGTTCCCATGCTTTTGCACTGGAGGGTATTTGAAAGAAGCTATCCAAAGGAAGGGGACTATGGGTGTCACAGTGGTTTAAACTGCTGAGCTGCTGGGCTGGTTGATCGAAAGGTCACTGGTTCGAATCTGCACAACAGGGTAAGTGCCTGTTGCTCTGTCCCAGCTCCTGCCAACCTTGCAGTTCGAAAGCATGCAAGTGCAAGTAGATAAAAAGGTACCACTTTGGTGGGGAGACTGCCTGCAGACAAACGCTGGCTCTCTCGGCTAGGAAACTGAGATGAGCACTGCCCCCTAGAGTCAGGCATGACTGGACTTTAATGTCATGGGGAAACCTTTACCTTATTCAAAGGAAGATGCTCTCTCTGCAGTAGGGGAGCCACAGCAAAGCAGCACGTTGGTACCAATCTTTTGTGATTGTTCACGCAATCCAAGATATAAAACAGGTTCTTTCATGCCTGCTTATTTCACAGTTCTTCTCCCCAGATAATTCCAGTCTGCAAAAAAGGGGCTGATGGAAGGACTGAGGCCAAAACAGCCTGGCACGGGTGATCAGGGATCACATACAGATTGACATGTGCTGCTCCGGGCATGAATTTCCCTAGGAAAGCCCTTGCTGAGGCAGACAAAAGATAGTCTTCTCCCAGCATGCTGTCTCCAGTTAGATGCCTCTGGGCAGTTTGCCATCAGAGCACAAAGAAAAATGGCATTCCCATAGATAAAAATGGATTTTCTCCCCCTTCACTGCCCAAACTTTCTGCCTACATACCATTTGCCCTGATGATAGTCCCCAGCATTTTGAGAGCCAGAGATCCCATTCCTATAATCATAGGATAACTGTTCCCAGCTACTGTGCCTGACTGCCATTAGTGGGCCTAGCCTGGGTCTAGGCTCATGGCCCTGCCACCATGCTATGGCAACAATTCCCATAGGTCAGTAATGTGTTGCATGAAGGAATGGTCTCTTCTGTCTGTCCTCCACATGCTGCTAGTCCATTTTAAATTCTTTTTCATCCCAAACCAGATTCCAAGGGAAAGGGTTAGGGCTTTTCTTCTCACCTGAGATGCTAGTTTTCTGCATGCAGGGATTTGGCTGCTCTGGTACCACTTTGAAACTGAGTATAGACCTCCTTTGGGGCAACCTTCTTCACTTTGGTGCTCTCTGTATTGGATCACAACCCCAAGCATCCCAGCCAGCTTGGGGGTTAGAAATTGTGGGAGTTGTAGTCCAGTGCATCTGGAGGGTGTCAGGCTGGGGAGGGCTGCTTTTGAGGGAGTGATATTATTGTTGTCTCCTCTCCTACTGACATATTCCAAGTGACTAATATCATTGCTTCTCTTAATCACAAGAACCACCCAAGTCTCTGGTTGGGAAAGCTCTAGTGTTGGGCTGTTGATCACAACTCTTGGGGGTGGGGGACTCCTTAGTAGCCAGGACTCCTTCTGACAGCCTTGCCCAGGCACAGGCTGGGTGAGTTGTAATGGCGGCACTCAGCAGCCTCATGGTGGACCTACATGCCAGCGATGCCAACTGCTTTGCCTTTGCCTTCTCACTTCAGATCAACGAACTGAGCCAGGTTCCCCAGCCGGTAATGCTGCTTCCTGATGACTTCAAAGCCAGCTCCAAGATTAAGGTGAACAATCACCTTTTCAACAGGTGAGGAGTTGCAGAGGGGTGGAGAGATAAAGAAGGTGTGCCCTCTGGTTCTGCTGCTTGGAGGTGCTGGGGACTGGACCAGGTGCTCTCAGTTGGGCAGAGCCTGGGTCTGCTGGATGTGCGCAGCACCTCCTAGTGGACATGTCCTAGGTTAGCCATCCTCAACCCAATTGCCTTCAGCTGTGTGGGGCTCCAGCCCCCATCATCTTCAGGGATTCTCATCCCACAGAACTGAAGGGCATCTGCTTAAGGTCTGCTGCTCTAGAAGATTTATAGTTCCTTGATTACATATCCCTCCCCCTTCTCTTACCCAGTAAGAGAAGCCTAGAGCAACACCTCTTTTATTTATTTCTTTGCTGTTTCTGTTGCACTTCAGCATAGCTTTCCCTTCTGAGTTCTCTTGATCTTCCTTTCCCACTTTGGTCAAACATCATGTCTCTGATATGCAGCCTGTCTGTGTAAGTGTTCTCTGAGCATCTCATGCTTTCCCCTTCTCTTGCTAATGAGTTTATAAGAGACAGTACTTGCTCCATGGTGAACAGAACAGCTGTATTCTGAGAAAGCTTGCATATGCTATATTTGTATTTTCTGCTTGGTCATGAGGACTAGAAACCTATATCTGCTTCATTCTTATGAAATCTTTTGTTGCCTGAATTACAGATTGCAGCTGTTGTTGCCGCTTTCCTTTGGCTGTCTGTTCCTCCCTGTGAACCTGCATTATAGATTACAAAAGTTTACACAATGCACAATACATGTATTTTATTTCATTTACACCAACCATCCTTAACCTGATGCCCTCCAGATGTTTTGGACAACAACTTGGAGCATTCCCAGATATTGACCTTACTGGCTGGGGCTGATGGGAGTTGAATCACAAAACACCTGGAGGGCATCAGATTGGAGAAGACTGATGTAGACCAGATCTGTATGGGAACTTTCCACTGTTCAGTGCTTTAATTCTAAAAAACCAAAACTGTTCAGGAAACAATTTGGGGAGTGGAATAGTGTCATGGGGTATGGGATGAGTCCTTCTGAAGAGCCCTTGTTTTTGGTGGTACCAAGTTACCTTTTTTTAACTTTATTTTTTAATTCTCATATCTCCTTTACCTTCAGTGTAAGGCATTTATTATTGACATTTGATTATGGGAATCGCCTACACATTTGGGGAAGGGTCCTGTTAGGAGAATTATATGGGATTTTATTCAGTTTTAGTCTGACTGAATGATCTAACCCTCCTGGGACTGTACCATTTCAGAAAGATCAGATAGTGTGTAATTTGACTCCTTCATGTTGAAGTACAGAACAGTCTGCAAGCGCATGCCGAGATAGAAGCCCCTCCCCGCCACTACCCCGCTTGCCTCATATCTCATGCTTAGTATCAATGACACCAGCTCTGCCTTGCTGGTAATGTCACCATTCACAAAACAATGGGAGGTTTGCCCCATGTAGTAGACAAGGCTAATGGTGAGAGGATTACGCAGCATGGGCCCCAGCTTACTGGGTTAATGCCCAGACTGACTCGGGAGGGATTCCTTGCACTAAAGCCTTGCTCACTTCTTGGAGAGAAAGGCCGGCTTCCTGGTAAGGGGAACAGAAGGGGCTTTGCATTTACAAGAATGCAGTGCAAGGGGCTGTTTCCAATGCTGAACTTGTTCCCTCCATAGCTGAGGAATACGAGGCCTGGGCACCATATGTGGCAGAGTCCTGAGGTGGCTGTACCACCTCAGACACCCTTCCCCTAGCCGCTGGAAGTAAGCGCAGCAGAGAATAAGCTGGACTACGGGCTTCTTCAGTGATGTGCTAGTCTTGTTTTTTCTTTTTTGCACAGAGGAGCATTCAAACCATACTCCTCACCCCCAGCCCTGGAATCTGACAAGAGACAGTCGCTCTTCCAGTTCATTCTGCTGCCAGCCAGATGCTCCATTTGTGCAACAGCTAACAATATTTGGCACTCTGTTCTTGCAGGGAAAACCTGCCCGGCCACTTCAAATTCAAGGAGTACTGCCCACAGGTCTTCCGCAATCTCCGGGAACGCTTCAACATTGATGACCTGGATTATCAGGTGGGTAGGCTTACTCTTTTATTCAAAAAGGCCTTTTTGTATCCCTCCTACACAGGCATGTGATACTGATCCAGCTTAGCCAGCAGAGGTCATCCCTTCTCTCCACAGCTGCCCACCTTTCCCCCCACCACGTTTGCTGGCCACGTATGCCAGCTAGTAGAGACACTCAGAGGAGAAAGCACATGGCTAAGGGCCTTCTTGGTGGTTGCACCCTCACTGTGGAACTTCCTTCCCAGAGGTGCCAATTGAGCCAGGTTTGCTCCCTCTCTTCAGAGAATTGGCTGTACCTTTTTTTTAAGGAAAGCCTCTTTAGGACAAGGCTAATGGATAGTATTTTGTCGCTGGCTTTATTCAGGTTTTATATGTGTGGGATGATGCATTTTAATACTCATGATGCATTTATATTTTGTATCGGATAGCTTTAAATCAAGAAACATGTCCAACTTCAGTAACTTGTTCTCAGACCCTTTGGGAATGTTGGTTAGCAAGCCGGGTTGAAATTCAAACCATAACTTGTACTATACATTTCCAGGCATGCCAGTTTGAGGAGTTATAAGTTACTCTGCCTCAAACAATTGGGACTCCCAAGTAAGACTGCTGGACATGCAAATCAGATCACTGGCACGTGTTTTCCCTTAGGAGAAATTGATGCAGAATGGGGAAGGGAAGGCCAGTGGGTTATTAACACTGGTGATATCATAGGAACTTTGCTCCTGCATATGCCTGCCTAGATACCACCATTGTTATAGCTGTTCTCAATAGCTGTTGCAGAACTTACCTTTGTGTGTATTTCCAAGAGAGGCTGGGGTAGGACAGGGATTTTAAAAGTTAACCATGGTGACCCATTCTTTGCCACTCCCCTGCCTCGCTCTCGATTTGGCAGGGGTCTGGTTTCTGAGGATGCAGCCATGCTGGAGCTGTGGGCAGAGTCTGGATCTCACAGGAGCGTTCTCTGACTTTTTCAGGCCTCGCTGACACGCAGTCCACCCACTTACGAGACGGAAGGTGGAGGACGATTCCTCCTCTCTTATGACAGGACTCTGGTAATCAAGGAGATCTCCAGTGAAGATGTGGCTGATGTGCATAGTCTGTTGTCCCACTACCACCAGGTGAGGCAAGTTGGCAGACACTGTTCTCCTCCGTGGCTGTCAGCCCTCCCTGTTCTTTCTGCCAGCACAAATTACCTTTGGAATCCAAGCCTCTTTGTTAAACAGAAAGCCAGTTTTTGTGCTTGAGAGAGCCAGCCTTGCATGTTACAGGTTTGTACACTATTCTGCTAGCCATGGACAGAGAAACAGACAAATGCACAAAACAGTGACAGCTGCTGGGAATTCTTCTCACTTCCTTGCCTACTTGGAATAGGAGCTGCTGCATGTTTTAAAGTTTCTCTTCACAGCCTCAGAAGCAAGAAACTTGTTTTCAAAAATAAGTGAAAGGTTCTCCAATGCTACCTTTGGAGAATGCTGAGCAAATAAAATATTTTCTATAAAGCACCCTGTGCAGCAAGGCATCAGCAGCTGCTTAAACTGTAAAACAGAACCTGCCTGCAACCCATCAAATTCTCCTCTTGGGCCTTGTGGGAAGTGAGGACTGAAGGAAATCGAATCAGACCTGGTTGTGAATGTTATTTTTGGAAAAATAAATTCAGGCAGCCGTGTCAGTCCCTGGGAGTGAGGGTACAGAGCTGTCCTAAGAGTAATACAGTGCTGTAATAACCTTTACTGAAACCAGCTAAAATCTACAAAGTAGTGAACAAGTATTGAATCTTCTTTCAGATTCAGAACCAGAACTCTTCTTTAAGCAAAAAGAAAATGGTGGTTTGTGCAAATGATGTTGCTGACCATGAAGAAACTCCATAGTTTGCCTTTGATGAAATATAGGCAGTGTTGTTGTTGTTAGTCGCAAAGTCGTATCCAACCCATCGCGACCCCATGGACAACATTCCTCCAGGCCTTCCTGTCCCCCACCTTCCCCCGGAGTTCACTCGAGCTCACACCAACTGCTTCAGTGACTCCATCTAACCACTGCATCGTCTTTTAAGATTTTGAATAGCTCAGCTGGAATACTGTTGCCTCCACTAGCTTTGTTGTTGCTCAGACTTCCTAAGGCCCATTTGCCTTCACATTCCAGGATGTCTAACTTGAGGTCAGTGACACCCCATTGTGGTTATCAGGGACGTTAAGCTCTTTCTTGTATAGTTCCTCTGTGTAATCTTGCCATCTCTTCTTAATCTCGTCTGCCTCTGTTAGGTCCCTGCCATTTTGGTCCTTTATCATGCCCATCTTTGCATGAAACATTCCCTTCATATCTCCAATTTTCTAGAAGAGATCTCTGCTCCTCCCTATTCTATTGTTTCTTCTATTTCTTTGCACTGTTCATTTCAGAAGGCATTCTTATCTCTTCTAGCTATTCTCTGGAATTCTGCATTCAGTTGGGTGTATCTTTCCTTTTATCCCTTGCCTTTTGCTTCCCTTCTTTCCTCAGCTATTTTTAAAGCTTCCTCAGACAGCCATTTTGCTTTCTTGCATTTCTTTTTCTTTGGGATGGTTTTAGTTGCTGCCTCTTGTACAATGTTGCGAAGCTCCGTCCATAGTTCTTCAGGCACTCTGTCTATCAGATCTAATTCCTTAACTCTATTTGTCACCTCTACTGTATATTCCTCAGAGATATGGTTTAGGTCATACCTGAATGGCCTAGTGCTTTTCCCTACTTTCTTCAATGTAAGCCTAAATTTTGCAACCAGAAGCTCATGATCTGAGCCACAAGTCAGCTCCTGGTCTAGTTTTTACTGACTGTATAGAGCTTCTCCATCTGTGGCTGCAGAGCACATAGTCAATCTGATTTCTGTGTTGACCGTCTGGTGATGTCCATGTGTAGAGTCGTCTTCTGGGTTGCTGGAAAAGAGTGTTTGCTATGACCATCGTATTCTCTTGACAAAATTCTACCAGCCTGTGCCCTGCTTCATTTTGTACTCCAAGGCCAAACTTGCCTGTTATTCCAGTTATCTTTTGGCTTCCTGCTTTAGCATTCCAATCCCCCATGATGATAAGGACACCATTTTTTAGTGTTAATTCTAGAAGGTGTTGTATGCCTTCATAGAACCGGTCGACTTCAGCCTCTTCAGCACCAGTGGTTGGGGCATAGACTTGGACTATTGTGATGTTGAATGGTTTGCCTTGGATTCGAACTGAGATCATTCTGTCATTTTGGAGATTGTATCCCAGTACTGCTTTTCCTACTCTTTTATTGACTATGAAGGTTACTCCATTTCTTCTGAGGGATTCTTGCTTGCAGTAGTATACCTGATGGTCATCTGAATTAAATTCACCCATTCCTGTCCATTTTAGTTCACTGATTCCTAAGATGTCGATGTTCAGTCTTGTCATCTCGTTTGACCACATCCAGCTTTCCTTGATTCATGGATCTTACATTCCAGGTTCCTATGGAGTATAGATCTTTGGAGCATTGGACTCTCCTTTCACCACCAGATACATCTGCAACTGAGTGTCCTTTTGGCTTTGACCCGGTCGCTTCATTCTTTCTGGCGCTACTAGTACTAGCCCTCCGCTCTCCCCAGTAGCATATTGGACACCTTCCGACCTGAGGGGCTCATCTTCCAGCGTCATATCTTTTTGCCTTTTGGTACTGTCCATGGGGTTTTCATGGCAAAGATACTGGAGTGGGTTGTCATTTCCTTCAGTGTTAAACACATTTAATTAGGTAAGACCATGCTGACTACAAAATAGGCTTTTAGGCTGCAGCAGGGCATTCTGGGACAAATGATCTGTGTTTGCTCTCCTTCCTGTAAACATAAAAAACCACGGCTTCTTTGGACTGTGTTCTGATCAGCATGAGGAAGAGCCTTGTAAGACAGGCAGGAAAAGTGAAGAACATCATGGCACTCCTTAATAGGGCAAAGCTGGAAATAAATTATACATGGGGCACTAGATTAGCCTTCTGCAAGCTGGTGCTCTCTGGATGTAGGGAAATGCCACTCCCATACCTCCCAGCCAGCATGTGTTGTAATCCAACATTTCTGAATGGCACCTGCCTGGAGAAGGCTGCACTACACATAGAAACAGTGCCTGCAGGTTCACCACTTCCCACTAGGGGGCGTGCCAGTCCATCTGAAGTCATGCGATGGAAGATCTGGAGTGGCTTTTATGCTGGGCTTGGGTGTACTTTGTTGCTCGAAAAAGGCACCAGTTTTATGATCAGGAGCAAGGATGAAGGTGAAGAAAGAGGGAGCTTTATCTGGAAGTTTTAGCACCAGGAGGTAATAATAAGGAATAGTCATCGTCATCAGAGAGGGCACTGACTCTCTGAGTTAGCTGAGCAGGGCACTGCTATCTCATGGCTGATCCAGTGCAAAGCCTTTACTGGCCCTGTCCTGCTTCAGGTGCCCAGATTTTCTTTGCAACTGTGTGGCCTTGAAAGATGGTTTTAAAAACCTACGCTGACATTAATCCAGATTCCATTTGGGAAACTTATGGAATGCTTCTGGATCTTGCCTTTAACAAGTTATTCTTTATCTGAGAGGCAGGAAAGTTGTGGTTTTGGAAGTGGGCTCCTGCCCCAAGCTCTGGTTTCCTTTTCAAGATCTGCCATCACAGATTTTCTGATGTCCTCTCACTACCATGCATGTGATCCAGCCCTCCATGCTGGGCTTGAGAAGAATGGGCAAGCAGTCCTTCCTAACTCTCTCTGTCTCCTTCCAGTACATTGTGAAGTGCCATGGAAGTACCCTCTTGCCCCAGTTCCTCGGGATGTACCGGCTCAGCGTTGACAACGAGGAGAGCTACATGCTGGTCATGAGGAACATGTTCAGCCACAGGCTAACAGTGCACAGGAAGTACGACCTGAAGGTAAAAGATGTTGGAGGACAGGCACGGCATGTGCCGAGGCTCTGGTCCCCTTAGTCAGTCTCTTGCAGCACGCTTGCCCGTGCAGCTGTGCAGATTAGGGGCATCAACCTCGTTTTAGCCTAAGAACCAAAGTCAGTATCAGAGAAGGTCTAGGGCAGGGCGGGGTGGTGGACAGACACAGGTGCAAAGCAGGTGGGGCTAAAATACAGAAGATCCTCCTTCTCCAATGCCAGCATATTTCAGCATGACGCTCATACTGCCAGTATGAGTCTCAGGGGAGGCATTTTGACCCTTTAAAATGGGGGAGAAAATGTGCAAAAAGTGGGACACCACTACCTGACCAGGTAGGAAAGGGGCGGGGCCCTCTGGGGCGCCTCGGAGGGCTGGATTGGTGCTCTAGGTGAGCCAGCTTGGGTGCCTGCAGAGGCTGTGCTTAGCCCACTGGCCCTAGAGCCCTCACCCCTGTGCAGATACTACTTTCTTTGGAGGCCTACAAATGATAATTGCTATAGAAGGTGCACTCCAAGGTTGTTGAAACTGCCTGGTGCCCAAAGTCCTCCTGTCACATGAAGTGGTAATACTGTAATGCCACTCCTACCTGCTGTATGATGAGCAGTGCCCGGAAGGCATTGTTCGGCAGCAAAGCACAGCTTTGCATGCACGAGGTCCCCGGTCCAGTCCCTGCATATCTGTTTAATGGTCTCTGGTGGCAGGAAAGGGGCAGGCACCGCTTGCATGGTGGGAGGCACCAGCCCTGCCTTTGAGGATGGGGTGCGCACACACTTCTTATCACCTGCAGGACCCTGCTGCTTCTCTGTCCACACGAGCAGGGCTGGCAGACAGGCAGCGACCACTTCTGTTAGCAAGCCGCTAGTCTGGATTGAGGGAACTTGAGTTTGCTCTCTGGCACCGGTAAAGTAACTTCCCTGGTTGCCTGAAAATTGGTATTAAAGAAGAAAATTAAATGATGGGCACTGCTCCGGCATTGATCTGGATGAAGCTCCCTGCTCTCTTTGGAGTGACCGCAAGCTTTTGTTGCCACTTGAACATCCTCCCAGCTTCCACCCAGCTCTCAACTCGCCTCTTCCGTGAAGCTTCTGGCTTAACCCAGGGGTGGGGATTTCATGGCCTTTCTGGTTGTTGTTGGGCTCCAGCTCCCATCATCCTGCCTGTTGGCCATGCTGGCTGTATTGATGGGAGATGACGTCCATCAACATCTTGAGGGCCACAGGTTCCCCTCTGCTAGTTGAAGTCCTTAGTTCGTATCTCCCACCTACAATCGAACCTGACACTATAATTCTTTACATGTCTACTTGGAAAGCTGCCTAGAAGACTCCTAGTGAGTGGCATATAAATCTTAAAATAAATATAATTGGAAGGAAGTCCCCTGATTATCAGAAGGCAGCCTGTGGGTGTGCGTGACCATATCTGCTTACATTTGGGTACCCTTCCCCCTTCCTGCCTACTCAGCCTTAATGTCTAGCAGCGCAATTCAGAGAATTGTTTAAAAAGAAAATAAGTCTTACAACTCCCAGAATTCCCAGTTGTGGAACTTTTTTTTGTCTAAGCATGCATAAGATCGTGCCCTAGACATAGATAATACGCTCCTTGGAAGAAGGACTGTCTCTTGCTTATATTTCTTTTCCCTAAACCACCATGTCTTCTGCTGTCCCTTTGTAAACTATGCATAGTAACAAATAGCTCTGTTTCCCAGGCAAGAATGCTTTGTTCCCGCCCTGCACCCCAGACGTGTAGCTTTTGCGGTCAGATATGATGCTTGGTCTGTGCCAGGCTGAGGGCCCCCTTGAGCTTGCTGCAGCCCTCTTCAGCGAGCCAATTAAAATGTCTTTGGCTGGGCCGTATCTCCTGAGCAGTGCTTCCAAGTCCGGGTTTGAAGACTACAGGCATCAGAGGAGGCCACCCTTCCTCTCTCGGCAGCGTGGGAGCGACTTCGGCTGGCTTGCTGAATGGTTCCTGTTGTTGTGCTGGAATTTCAGAGCTCTGAACTGCCCTCCTTGGGTGGCCGCACCCTACAGAAGAATGGTTGCCCGTCAGCTCTGGCTGATAGTTCAGCAGGTTTTAAGTCTGCAGTACAGATCCTCTCTGGGAGGGCTTCATCCTCTGTTCCCCTCCTCATAGCTTGGTCTGTCTTTTAAATGTTTTGTCCCTCTCAAATTGCAGTGAAATCCCCTCTTTCTTTGGGGAACTTGTTCAGTCCATGAATAATTGCAAATGCAAGGCCAGTACTTGTGTGTGTGTGCATGCGCGCACGCGTGCACATGCAAGAAAACTAAGCTAGGAAATTGAGATGGATCGTGTCCACCTCTCTCTGCCTTCAGCTTGACTACGCTTCATTAAAGGTGTCCCAAAGCCAATTCTCCCACAGCAAGGTTACATCGATCTTTTATAGCGGAGTTAACGAGACCCTTGTTTGCTTTCAGAGGGAAGGGAGGGGGAGGAATTGTGCCACAGTAGAAACATGGCTTGAGCTGGAGGATCACAGCTGATGTGCGTATGATGAAGGGATGCAGTCGCTGAAGTAACTTGGATGTGTTGTTCATCAGCCTAGCACATGACGGCTGCGGCATTTGTCATAGTTCGTGTTCTGCCTATTCTTAAATTACCACCTGCACTTGGAAAGCCTCAGGCCTGGAGCAGTGGGCAGGCAGAAAGACCATGCTGTGTGACTGAGTCAAAGGCAAGGGATTTTAGCTTCTTTGCATTAACAGCTTTTTTCCTGATCCTCACCTGCCAGAGAGTAAAAGGGCATGGGCAAAATACAAAGAGCCGGAACAGGATACTTTAGCTTAGGCCTTACAAAAGGAACTGTGCGCTTTTAGAATGAGGAAAACCCACACACAAGCCAGGAAGCCCCTGAATGATTGGTCATCGGAGGAAACGGAGCATAAACACCTGGGCATCCCAGAGGGCCGGATTTGGCCTGTGGCAGCCCACTCCTGCTGAAGTGCAGCAGGGGAAAGGCTCTGAAGAAATGGGATTAAGCAAAAACTTCGAAGCTGGAGAGCAAAGGGAGGCCTGGGAAGCATCTTGGCAGAAGGCTGGGGCAAGAGAATAGAAGCCAAAAATAGGTGAGTTGGGAGCTTCTGAGCTGATGTGGCCTAGCCCTGGCCATGCTCAGACCTCGCTATATCAAGGGTGCTTTGTGCAGAGTTTTTTTTTTCTTTAAAAAGAGGTGCACCAGGTTTGATGTGAAGGCAATCCAACTACAGTAGACCTCGTGCCTATTTATTTCTTGTTTGTTTGTTAGAGGCCACCTTGTTTTCCTTTCATAGAACTCAAGGCAGCTTGCATCACCCTCTTCCTCCTCTCAATCTTATCCTCACAACAACAGCTCTGTGAGGTAGGTTGGGCTAAGAGTTTGTGACTGACCCAAAGTCACCTGGTGGATGCTATGGCTGAGTGGGGACTAGAACCCAGATCTCCTGAGTCTCTGACCCACACTCTTAACTGCTACACCGTGCCTGCCTTTTGCATGCTACCAGTCAGGAATTCCCATCCTGACAACTGAAGACTTTAACATTCTTTTTAAAAACCCATGATGCTACTCTCGGAGTAAAGCTTTGGGGACTTAACGGGCAAGACCTACGTGGTTGATGGCTGCATCAAGAACTCCTTGGACACCCTTGGGCAAACTCTGCTTTCCACTTTCTATGAAGTGGGGGGAAAACATTGCTTGCTTCATACGCATAACATAAGTAAGGACTTGCAATTAATGTGCTTAGCCGAAGGCTTATGCAGCGTGGCATCACTGATGCTTACACTGCAGCTCTTCCACTTCCAATCATGCCCTCAGCCTGCCTAGAAGGAAAGGAGGCCAAAAGCCTCGTAAATGTGAGCCAGTGCCCTCATGTCACTCCATGGCAGACAACACTGTTAATTGGATCTCATTCCGCCCCTTGTGCTGGGGTCCCTTCAGGCAGCTTTTTGACTGGAATGTGTGGTGGGCTTGCCAGTGGAAACAGCGCTGGCGTCACTGTCTCTCCTCATCTGATCAAAGCAAGCTTGTCACATATAAAAAAGCACTTTTTTCCTCTTGTGGTGTAGAAAATCAGCACTGAGATACTCTCATGTAGGGTGGGTTTGCACAATCACAGAAGGAAAATAAGCTGTTGTGGCTCACTGGCTTTGGGTTGTCATGACGTTTGAACAAGCCAAGGGTTTTAGGGTGGTTTATAAGCCACCTTGGCCACCCACCCTCACTCAGTTCAAATGTCACGAAACCTGTGCCTGCCGGTTGTGGGGAGGAAAAATAAGTCATGGTATTTTTCCCTCTGAACATGTTTTCCCAGCCAGAAACCACTTACTTGAAATAGCCTTATTTTCCCTCCACTTGGTAGTAATATTTGGTTTCAGACAAGCTGAGAAGACTTTTTGAACACATTTGTGTAAGGAGGGCTGCAGTGGATGTCTTCTGGGGTGGAAACACATACTCATTTCCATTATAGATTGACCTGGTGTCCTCATTTTGCAAAGGGCCATACTCTATTTATTTGCTGGCATCCTCGTTTTTTTTTTTTTTTTTTGGAAGAACTGGCCTTCTGAATTCCACATTAAAAATAATGAATCACAAGATTCTGTTCACAGTTGGGTGAGATGTACTGTTTTCCTATTTGATTTATAACAATATTTCTGAATCTGTATGCATCAGCACATGCAAATCTTATGGAAATCACTGTGCTCTTGTTTTGATGATGTAGGGTCTCTTTTCTGATGTTTTAGAAGTGGGCTCCCTTCTATAACTCACTCTCCCCATGAAGTACCTCACCTGGGCTCTTCAGAGGCCTGGCACTTCCTTCAGTCAGCTCAAACCAACATTCCCCCAGAAACCTGAGTTCCCCAATCATCCAGCCATACAGGGAACCCAGCTCTCCTAGTCATTCTTCCCCCTCTTGCGGAAGGTTCCCAACATCCCACACGGAACTGGAACCTTGTGAGGAAAAAAAGGGAGGTGCACGAGAAAGCAGCTCTGTATGAAATGCCATGCCTCGGGCTGCATGGGTGGCGAACAGGAGTAGTCCTCACACCATTTCTTAGATTTCCAGGGATATACTAGCAATTTAGGCTTCTGTAGCAGGAACTGCAGAGTATCGTTCCTAAAGCAGTATTGTTATTTCTGGAGGGCTGCATTTTAGGCACATCTGCCTTGAGGCTTGCCTTGGAAATGTTTTCTGTTGATGTTTATGCATTAGCCTTTGCTTCCTGCAACATACTTGTTGTCTTCCTGCCTTTTTAGGGGTCCCTGGTCTCCCGTGAAGCCAGTGATAAGGAGAAGGTAATTGGGTATTATGAGGGGTGGGGAGTGTCCTTTCTCTGGGGTGATGGGGAGTGGCATCTGGGGTGATGGCTTGACTCTGAGTGGCAAAGTAGGGCAAAGAAAGGCAAAGAAAGATAGAACCTGTTATTTGGCATGACCTGAGTCTTGATTTTAGAATGATGACAGGCATCTGTGCTGAGACTGCCTTCTAGGTCCACCTGGCCTTGTGCTTGGCTGAGTAGACCAGCTCTTGGCTTGAGCTGTCCAAACAATAGGCCGCAGAAGAGGGGGAGAACCTTAAAATACCAGCAAATGCAGGTATGTTGATTTGCAGAACAGATTTGCAGGATTAAATTGGTTGTTCTTATCAAAATTGTAGGATGTCAGAAGCATAAAACCGAGAGGAGGAGGACTGTAGTTCAGTATTCGAGTCCCTGCTTCCCATGGGGGTTATTATAGGATTCAGTCCCTGGCATCTCCAGTTCAACAAATCAGAAGGCCAGGAATGGGAAAGATTTCCTGCTTAAGAGCTTCTGCTTGTCGGAGTGGACAGCAGTAGACTAGGTGCACCTGTAGTCTGACTTGGTATCGACTCCTTAAAAAGAGCACAGAAATACAATATCATCAGCATAACTCTGTATGCTGTGCTATGATTCAGGGAAAGCACAGGAAAAAATACAGTACTGGACCATGAAGATTCTTGAGAATCTTTTAAGGCTGTGGTGATCTCTTGGGCAGAATGTTTAGGAGGGGCTGAGTACTGCTCTCCAAAGTGATGTGCTTTTCTTTCTGCACTTCAACTCTACTCACAGTGAGAAGAGAGTAGGAGTTATTTGCTTTAGTGTTTCAAGCATTTACATGTTCTTTGGGTAGCTTACAAAAGAAAAACAAGAAATTTATAGATATGTACAGTCACTGTCTGCGTGAAATCCAGCTTGGATTTTTAAGGACTGTCTCTCCAGTCATCTTTTGATGCCTCTGCTTGTGTGATCCAAATCTGGATTTGGCAAGCCTTTGACTTCTCGTGCCTCCTTTTCATTCAAAACATGTGTGTATTCTTTTCTAGGGCAAGGAACTGCCAACCCTGAAAGACATTGACTTTCTAAATATGAACCAAAAAGTGTACATTAGTGAAGATGCTAAGAAAGACTTCATGGAGAAGTTAAAGCGAGATGTGGAGGTACTGTGCCTAATACAGAAACATGGACTTTTGCAGGAACTATGCAGCCATGCTTTTGAACAAGATCATCTTTTGAGCAGTCTCTCCTGATGAAGAGCTTATTCTGTAGCCGATTGTGTTCGCCTGGGCATGGCTGCACTGGGGTCAAGACGCGGTAATAATTGTAGGGGGTGGTTCTCTCTTCCCCAAGCTCCTAAGAGCTGTGTGCAAACATTTGTCGACAAGACTGAAAGTCCACGTCTTCTCGTGGTGCATTCTGTAGCAGCCCCGCCAAAGCCCCTGCCTCATGCACCTCCGTCTCTGAGCAGGAGCCCAGGTTATGCTGGTGTTCCCTATTCCAGTGCCACTGGGAAGCTGTGAGGTGCCCTGGAGAGGTGCAGCTGCTTCTTGAACCAGCATTGCCCCTCTGGAAACGGGAGCCCCACTGCTGAGCAGGTGAGCTGCAGCACTGGGGTGAGTTATTTCCCTCAGTAACACTGAGAGGCACCAGTGCTGCTTCTCCTTCCTCCCCTCTTGAATCCCACAATCCCTCTCTGAATTTCTGATTTACCTTTCTGCTTCCTTCCAGTCTTCCCATTGCCTGGGCCTTGAGGTAGCCATCCTCTCCACCCAGGCTCCCTCAGGGTGTGTTTTGCTGACTTTATTTCCCGCTGCTTGCAGTTAATGGCCCGGCACTTTGAAGTAATTAGTTTTCCTTCTAGTCTTTCTCTGTCACAGTGTCCTTCAACAGGTGGACATTTTGGGCTGTGGTGCAATTCTTGCCAGGCAGATGAGCTTCTGGCAGTTCATATGGCTCAACTTTTGAGTCCCAGCATGTGACTTTGGAGGAGAAAGGGACAGGCCTTCTTAAACCCCATGTGGAAGGATTACATAGTAGACATGCAGACGGCTGAAGGGTTTTGCTGTTGCCGTTGAGAAAGTGAGAGAGAAAGTTTGTCTCTGGACAGGGTTAGGTGCCACTGAAAGACTGATGGATGCGGACCTATTGGAAACAGATCTCCATTTGTGTGTTTGTAGGACAGGCTTTGCCACGAAGAAAGTTGGACTTTTTGCCAGAACCCCCAGATCAGCAAAGGGCCCATGGACACAACAGCATTGCCCTTTTCATCTTAAACACAGCACCCCAGAAATTCAGTGGCTGAAGGATAATGCCATGTTCCCTTCCCTACCCCACTCCTCATGCTAACAGTCTTTTCCCAAAGACTCCTAAAATCCTGAAGCAAAATTGGCAGAGGGCAAAGGGCCTCTAAAAGTACTTGTAGACCGGTGCAGTGCTCTTGTTTCTGAAGAGTTTTCATTTAAAATCTAGTTGGGATTTTTTGAAGACTGCCTTCCTTTTTCTGAATCAGCCAGGCAATTCAGGGTAAGAGGATGGAGATTGTTTTTGACTGCCTCCTATGATAACTGGGCTTCTTTTAGGGTATGTGCAGTGTACACAGTTTGAAAGATTGGCTACAATTTCCTCTATAAAACTGAGCTTGGTGGGGAGGCCTGCTTAGAAAAGAAGCTAGCTGGGTACACTGCTTCCTGTCTGGTGCTCACACCATTCAAGATCCGCCTATCTGCTTGCCCAGTTTAAAACACCACACACTGCTTAACTTACAAAAGTAAGCACCAGAGGAACCTCTAAATGTGTGATTGTACAAGTAGTGCTTTGAACAATAATTTTAAAAGGTAGAACCAGTGGTTAAATCAGGGTTCAAATTAGTGGTGAGCTAGTTTGCTTTCAGAAGACGCTGTGTAGTTTAAAAACTTGCACCAACTGCTTTGTTTAAGTAGTCTCTCTGTTCAGGCAGCCACTCTATGCTTTCCTAATCTGGGTTTTGTTTTTTTACTGTTTTTCAGCCTTCCGGCAAGGCTCTTACCATGGCTTGTATAGCATTTGCATCCAGAGCTTTGCAGGGTAGAAACTTAAAAACATGCAATAAACCTGAGATTCAAATACCTGTCTGAGCTGGAGGCTTCTGCGTGGCAGATGGCACCCCACCCCATTTGCTGTAACAAAATGCAAACTGAGGTTGGCTTCCCAGACTAGAAAAAATGCTCACAGTCGGTATCTCATCAGCTATTATATTTCCTCGGGGACTGAGTCTGCAGCATTGAAAATGCTGCTGCAGTGCAAGATTCGCCCTATTAGCCTTAATGACTGTTAATAGCATGTGATGGTGGGGGAGGGGTGGCTGCAGATGCTCACAGGCTTAATTGCTTGCCCGGTATGCCATGCAGCCTTCTGCCTCCATCAGCTGAATCCTCCCCAAACATTCCAGGATGGCTTGTGGCTCCCTTCCCCCACCTTTTTGCACAAATTTCAGTACTGCTGCCGACTCAGACTGGGGAAATGCTAGAAAGCGAGTTCCCTTCATCGCACCCAACTTTCCTGTGCAGAAAATCCTGTCTGAAATTCTGCTCCTGTATGCACTGCCACTAGCTATTTGTGCAGAAGGATCTGCTTAGGCTGCAGTCCTTGTGAATGAAATGGCACTGGGGTCTTCTGCAAGGGTTGGTTGGAGAGCATGCCTTGGTTCTTTACTGTGCAGTTTTCTTTCATACACAAATACATGTTCTTGCTCTCTTTCCTTTTCCTCACCATTGTCTTCCACAAAAATGAGCATAGCCCAGAATTCTCCTGCTTTCTAGAGAAAAGAGCAAACAGAGAGCAACCTTCCCCAACTTGGCATCTTCCTATTGTTATAAACTTCAGCTCCTCTGAAGTTCAGCCAGAAACACTGGAAGTCATAGCCCAAACTATCTGGAGTACTCCAGGCTGGGAAAGGCTGCAGTAGAAGCTTCCTGAGCCTTCTTAAATCTTCAGCCACAAACGCTCACGAAGTCAACCTTTCCCAATCAGCTCCAGATGTGCTGGGGGCTTGATAGGAGCTGTCATCCAGCGCATCTGGAGGGCATCAGGTTGGGAATGGCTGCATTTGCTATTCTCCCATTTGCAGCTGCTGGTAATAACAGCTTCTCTTTATTGTCTAATAGCCTGGTTATTTTTTATTTATGTTCTCCTTTTTTCTTCAGGGTGGTATTCATGGTACTTCTTTCCCCCTTGCCGCTCTTTTTATTGAGAGATATTTGTGTCTGTCCCAAAGTAACCCAGTGGGCTTCATGGCTGAATGGGGATTCGAATCCACATCTCCCTAGCCAGCATCCGTTCTTCATGTTACACCGCACTGACTTTCAGCCTTGTGGCAGTGTTGTAAAAATTACTAGCACAATATATATGAGATACTTTAAACACTTGAAATGTACAGCATAAAATATTAAGAATGTTTATGTTAATTCATAAATACACTTTCTTTCTGTGGTTGATGCAGAGAAGGAAGCGGGGGAGTGGAGCAGAGCACTGCTTTTTTAACTTCTGCGTGAACAAGGATTTCAGGAATATTATGTTTTATTCTTTAAAAAATTCCCATCCTTCCCTTTCAAGAAGCTTGGGGTGGCATTTTTTCGTTCATGACTTTATCCTGAGAACAACTTGTGAGGTGGGCTAGGCTGGAATCAGAGAGAGAGGGAGAGTTTGCTCCGTGGTTGGTTAGTGAATGAACGTCACAATTACAGGAGGAGGGGATATAGGCTACCCAGCCTAATTCTAAGGACTGTAGCACAAGAGTTGTTGTTGCGCCTTGGCTGAAAGTGAGCCTTGAGTTAGGAAGTTCCTAGTTCAAAGTCCAAGATAGGAACTCAGGGGCTTCTCTAAGGCCATCCAGGTTTCACAGCCTCAGTGCCATACCTGCAAAATAGGGATAATGCTGACCCAACTTTGGGCAGTGCTGTGGGGATGAGTGGCATAAAGACATGAAGCGCTTGAACACTGCAAAAAGCTATTCATGGGGGGACAGCCTCTGGCCTTCAAGAATTTGGACCACAGTTCTCGTCAGACCCCTGCTGGCTGGGGCTGATGGAAGTCGGAATCTGGCAACATCTGAACAGCCACAGATTCCGTACACCTGCACTACATAAATGCAAAATATTGCATCATGGTTTGTGTATGTACTTTCCTGTGGACAGGAGTTCCTTTTCCTTCCAAATGTTAACCTTTCTCTTGGCAAGAATGAGAACACTTTCCATATTTGCATGTATGAAGCGAGTGTTCCTGTGAACACAGACCTCGGCTCCTGAAGCAAAGCCAGACGGCATTGTAAGCTCCATTTCTGGCCTCAGGCTGATTTGAGCGCTGCATCCCTGCCTCTCGCTATCCGCTGCCACGTGGTGCTCGCAGCTGCCAAGGTGCCAGTGCACAGTTTGCAAGACTTGGAGGGGTTGTGGCGAATTGCCCAGACCTCACAGCAGAGCGGAAAAGGCTTGAGTACTAAAGGTTCTTAGTCAAGCCAGTGGAGCTGAAACAGGGACCCATGCCTGGGAGTTAAATCTTGGGTGCCTGCCAGTTAGGAGTGAGGTGCACAGCTTTGAGCAACCAAGGCAATTAATCATAGGGGTGGCTTGCCAAGAGAGGGGTTCTTCTCTCCCCACCCAACAGGCACCACCTTCAGAGTCCCTTCAAAAGGCTAGAAAACTGCCTTTATTGATTCTTGATGAGTCCAGGGTAAAACTGGTTCCTGGTGTTGCAATCACTGGAGGAACTTCTGCACAACAAGTGATTTGATGCTGCTTAGTTATCCCTGGATGTGGCTTCCTTGGAGGTGAGGAGCATCTTCCCTTTGGTTGGTGTGTTCAGCCAGCAGCTGGTCCATGCAGAATCCTTGAGCCTCCTCTGACCAGACGCCAATCTGCAGGATGGTCAACCTGCGTTTTGAAGACTTGGTGTCTAATTAAATGGATCACCTGGGGCCCTCCAGGTGTTCTGAATTCTAGCTCCCATCAGCCCCCACCAGAATATTCAGGTTTGATGGGAGATGTAGTACAGAGCTTCTGGAGGGCCTGCCATAGAACAAAAGATTTCTAACGAGTGGGAAACTTTGAGATGAGGAAGGTGACCCTGATTCTAATGCTCTTCCATCATGCAGAATGAGGTGGAGGAATTTCTGCATTCTTCCACTACAGATGCAAGAGATGTTAATGTGCTGACATATTTTTGAATGCATCCTCATTAAGCTAAAAAGCTGCTTCTTAATACAGTAAACAAGCTTATCGGGGAAAGGCCTGTGCCAAAACTTTCCCCTCTGGTGTGCTGGTTTATCTCATGAAGGGAGGTTTATGTTATGTGTCTCTGCATAAGGGAGCATTAAAAGAAATCTCCCTCACACATGCACGCACTCTCACACATTGCCTTCTACAGAGGTATAAGATCTCTAGTCTCGGGGCCAGATCCTGCACTCTAGGATTCTCCAGATGTCTGTGTCCCCTTTCCTGACCAATGAGGCTTTGGTAGTTAGTTCCCTGGTAGTTAGTTCTGTGCAGTTCCCCCTTCCCCCCAAATTAAAAGGTTGAAATACTTCGACTAAACCTTAGCTACCAGCTATACATTAAAAGATGCTGATTTTTTTTACTCCACCCCTATTGCCCTCGACCCCACCCACCACTGGACTGTAGTCCCCAAGAGCTTTTCCAAAATGGAGTTCAGCCCCCAGGATGAAAGAGGCTCACCACTGAAAGCTACAGTCTGAAGTCAATCTGTCAGCCACCCAAGCCTACCCCTCCATTCTGTGCAATGTGTGGAATACAGCCATATCGCAGTCCAGAGCTTGGACTTCATTTGGTTCCTCCCGGACTGGAGGATGCTCTCATGCAAAGCTAGGAAACAGGCCTTGGCTCTGACCTCGGAGGGGAGAGCAGTATTTATTTACCAGGGTTATAATCCTGCCTCTTCCCACTTGCAAGAGACCGAAGGTGGCTTACACGATCCTCTTCCTCAACATTCCTGTGAGGTGGGTTAGGCTGAGAGTCAGCAACTGGCCCAGAGTCACCTAGTGAAATTCATGGCTGGGTGGGGACTAGAACCCAAGTCTCCAGAGTCCCTGCGCAACATGGTGGCCATTACCCCACAGTGGCTCTCAGAAGGTTGCTGGAGTGGGTAGTACATTGGCTCTGGATAGGGCTGGGTTCAAATCCAGAGTCCTACTCAGCCATAAAGCTTTCTGAAGTCTTGGGCAAATCATTAACCCAACTTGACCTGCCTCTCAAGTTTATTTTCAGGATGAACTGAACTGTGCTATACTAATAAGGCTTTCTTTAGCTAAGGCTCACTACAGCTTACCCTTGAATCCTCTGAAATCCTCTGAACAAAGTAATTAGTTGTCCCTAGTTTTGAGGCATTCTTGCAGAAATATAATTGTACTGCTCTTATAAACTTGAAACTATCTAGAAATCTCCAGAGTTGGAAATTCTGTGTGGATGCTATTTTAGGCCACTTACTGTGATCACCTAGATATTCATGTTTTAGATATTCATGTTTTATCCAATTAAAGATTAGAACATGTAGGTTTTCCCTGAAATTTCAATTTTATATAAATCCAATTTTTCCTGGTCTGTAACTAATGAATGAATGAATGGAATAAATCCAATTTTAGATACATCCTGATAGACATGGGTTAGCAAAAGGTTGGATCTGAACAGCCATCCTTAAGAGTAGCCCCTTGGAAATCAATGGCTCTTATATGAGTCACATTGAATCTCGTTTCCATGGGTCTGCTGTAATTAGGACAAAGTCTGGATCCAACCATGCATTGCTTCCAGTCAAGGAGCCTCTTCTGGCTATTGATGGCCCTCCTGTGAGTTCACAGAAGACTAATGATCAGAGCTGTTTATCTCTGAAATTAGTCCTGTGCCCCACCTCTACTGTCCATTAGGTAAGTTTTGGGGATGTTAACGAATAACGAGCATTCTAACAATTCAGAAGTTAAGCTTAGTGCAAAAGATCTAAAGTGGGTAGGATAATTTTCCCTGGCCTGATGCCCTCCACATTTGTCAGCAACTCCCATAATTCCCAGCCAACAGGGCTATGTAACTTACATTTGTGTGTGTGTCTGTGGGCTCCACTTAGAATAAATAAGTAATAAATCCATGGCATTTTCTGGCAACTGACCTTCATATCCTCAGTTCCTAGTGCAACTCAAGATTATGGACTACAGCTTGCTACTGGGGATCCACGATGTGCAGCGAGCAGAGCAGGAAGAAGAGGAAGATGTGAAAGAGGAAGAGGAGGATGGAGAGGGTGAATCGGGGGCTCTGCCCTTGGTAGGCTCCTATGGAACCTCTCCCGAGGGCATTGGCAGCTATCTCAACTCCCACAAGCCCCTGGGGCCTGGCGACTTTGAGCCTTACATTGATGTCTATGCCACCAAGAGTGCTGAAAGTAAGTCTGGAGAAGAGGAGACCTTCACCAAGAGAACTTTCAGATTGGGAGCCATGTTGGCCTCTTGTAGCAAAGCCAAGAGCCTTACAGCAACATAAAGGCTGAGATGTTTATTATGGCATACGCTTCTGTGGAGCACTATATAATAGGATCTGGCTCATGAAAGCTTACACCATAATAAGTACATTCCTCTTGAACATCCCACAAGATGTCTTGTTTTCACCAAGAGGACTTTGTCTTTAGTTGGGGTCACCGAGTTGCTTCCCCCCTTTGACTGTGTTGTGCCCTTGGCCATATTTTCACCCAGGTCCAACAGTTTGGCCTAATGCCTGTTCCAGAGGCCAATTGTGGGTGGTGTGGACTCTTACCTGGGGAAGTCAAGCTCTGAAATCAAAAGCAGGACTTGGCTAGACTATTGTTTGTGTGCATTTGTTGCAGCATGAGTAAGTAATCCAGCTTCTGGTGCAGAATTTTGCAATCTGAAGATAGCCACACGTCAAAATAGCCAGTGAGGGGTATGCACAGAAGTTAAATGGCCCAATTTCTATAGAATCTGGATGTCAGTGCAGTTTAAATAAGGCCTTCAGGAAAGACCTTTCATGTGTTGTCCATGGGAAATACCGAATCAACATTCTGGCTTCTACAACCCAGGCTCTTAAGATACCCCAAATACTGTGATGCTAATCAGTCTCAGCCCTCTGAATCCTCCTTTCACAGCTGTCTTAAATCTGGCTTCTAAAAGCCAAACACGCTGCACAAAATAAGCAAATATGTACATCTGCTTAATGTGCACACTTTGATCGCAGAACTGGGTCTCTCTTTGTGCAAAATGTGGATGATTGAAAAGAGGGTGGAGCACAATATGTATCGTCCTGGGTATAACCTGATCAGAGACAGGCAGTCAGCTTCTGAGAGAGAGTTTGACAGCCAGGATTCTGGAATTTACTGCCTCCATCTAATTTCTGGGTGCTGCTTCCACTTTCTTCATCTTTAAAATGCAGGCTGCTTTGAGTTTGAACATGGAGAACATGATTGCACGAATTAATCAATCAGCCCTGAATTGTTTCCTAAATTTAGGGTCAGGAAGTGATCCTCTTGTTTCAGATAAGCTATTGCTCAGAGCGGAGAGTGGGGTAGGAGCAGATGTCCTCTTGCATTTGGCTGGGTTCCCACTCTTGAGTCAGTCATTTGGTATTATCCATTTTGTGTGAACTACCTTGGTGTGTTACATTTTAAAAAAATCCAATTTTTTGCCCCTTTTATTCAGAATAATATGGTTTCATGTGCCTGGAAACTTAAAGTAAAGCAGCCCTCTCCACCTGGAAGGTTTTGGACTTCCAGCCATCTTGGCCAAGGGTACAATACAATACAAGACTACAATTGTAGTCTAAAACATCTGGAGAATATCAGATTAAGGAAGGCTGGGGTAAAACATGTTGACATTTGGGCTTTTCCAGGCTATGGATGTATATAATACAGGGGTGTATGACCCAGTGCAGGAGGTTTGCTGACCCTCTTTTAATGTTTCCAGATAGTCCCCAAAAGGAGGTTTATTTCATGGGTCTCATTGACGTCCTCACACAGTATGATGCCAAGAAGAAGGCTGCCCATGCAGCTAAGACAGTCAAACATGGGGTGAGTCTGCCCTGCATCTTTATTTATTACAGCAGCCTAGGAATGCTTGAAAGGGGCCTCTGTTTCTCATTATTTGGCTTGTAGCTGGCCTCTGGCTTTGTTCTCAGATAACACTAACTCATGGTTTATTTAAACCATAGGTTGTTGCCCTAACTAGGGTTTGTCTAACAGACCATCAAATTGTAGTTGTTTTCTCAATCCCTGGGTGGTTTCTCTTCCCCTTTTGCTGTCTCTGCCCTGTATCCCAAATGGCTGTGTGGTGCTGCAATATTTATTTAAATTTATTTATCTTAATATTTATATACCACCCCATTTCTATAGGCTCTGGGTGGTTTACAAAAATTTAAACCAACAATGAGTAGCATTGACTGATACAGTATATTAAATAAAACTGACATGAGAACTAATCTGGGAAGGGCTGTTGGAAGAGATGTTTTTTAGCTCCCTCTTAAAAGTGGGAATTTGGAAAATCAGGCACATCTCATCGGAAATGGCTAGGTTTTTGGACCACTCTGTAGTCCAGTTTCGAGTTTGCACATAACAACTCATCATTTAACCAACCTAGCGAATGCAACCCAACAACAAACCGCATGTTCTCTTTCCTGGTTGTAAGTGCTTCACAAACCATGGTTTGTTAATGCAATCAAATTCACACAACCAACATTTGGTAACACAGTGCCATGGGATCGTATTAGGTGTGAACGGGTCTCTGTCTTCCTCCTTCCATGTCCTCTACTTCTGCTGTTGATGGTGGCTGCTGCTGTTCATTTCTGACAACCTCATCTCCTTTTACCATGCATGTACAGAGTGTGGGGGAGTCACTGGGAACAGTGGTTGGTACAGTTGAATGGGCCTTGGGTGGACAGTCCCAGGGCGGTCCTGCCTGAGCTGATTAAATAATCACATTGGAATAAAGAAGACATAACCCTTCCGATAGGTAGGAGCTGTTCCCTCTCGCCAGTCTTGAGCTTTCCGCTCTTTTCTTGGGCAACAAGACTGCAAATCCTGTCATGATCTTAAGGCTGGGGTTGGGAACCTTGTTGCGCTTGAAGGCCAAATTCTGTTTTGGAAAAGCTCTTGAGGGAGGGCAAGTCGAGGTGGCAGGTGGGGCTACCCCAAATGCTAGCCTATTTTAGCTTCAAGTTCTTATTGGCTACAACTGAGCCGTAGGAGAGGCATTTTGATCTTTTAAAGTGGGGAGAAAACTGCACATAGGTTAAGAACAGAAACTCAGAAGATAGGCGGGGTGTGGAGAGTGAGAACCCCCTGACAATGTGGGAAAGGAGACATGGCCATCTGGGGCACTCCAGAGGACCACTCTGGGCCTGAGGTGGGCAGGATTTAGCCCCTAGGCCCAAGGTGCTGTGTGGGACAATGATGAAGGTTGCTATGTGTGGTTCTTCTTGACACTTTGTCTCCCCCTGCAGGCTGGTGCAGAGATCTCCACGGTGCATCCGGAACAGTATGCCAAGCGCTTTCTGGACTTTGTCACTAATATATTTGCTTAGCAGTTGTGCAGTCCGTCTTGGTGGCCACAGCTTCCGATCACTGTCTTTCCTGCCCCCTTGTAGTTCTCCCTCGCCCCGCCTCCAGTTCTCGGTAAGAGGGATGGTTTACCCCCTGCTGTTTGGGTAGGCAGGAGAGTTGGGTTTGCATCAGATGAGCCGTGTTGTGGCTGGTCTGGGGGGGGTTGCTGCTGAATCAAGTGCCTTAACTTCGTCCTTCTGTTGGGATGAGCAACAGTCCAGAGTACCAAAGAAGCCGTTTGAGAACTCCTTTCGGAGGCAACTTCTCCAGCTCCCTGCTGGGAGTTGGAACAGGGAAAAACAAGCTGGCTTGGAAGATTAATCCCAGCATTGGTCTCTCCTGTCCCTTAATCTGTACCAGCAGAACACCAGTTGGTGACTCTGGGTAGAGGGTTAAATGGTATTTTTATCCTGAGAGAGAATAATATGCAATAAGAATTTAGTCTTGTGCCTTGGAAGAAGGGGGTAGAGTGGAATCTTCCTCATTTACACAATCATTTTTCTTTGAGGATGACTGATAGTATATATATTACTCTGTCCTGTGCTCTCCAGTGGTACTACCCGTGGGCCTCCAAGCTCCTTGTGCTGTTTCTTTATCTCACTCCCTTAGACCATGCTAGAAGCTCCCACTGTGCTCCAGTCCGTGTGGGCAGTTTGGCCCCCTCTAGCTCCTTCTCAGTAGTGAGAAACCAACCCTCCCTGCGAAAGGAGCATGTGTAGAGCCCAGCACTGCACTCCGGTTCCTGGAAGCCTCTCCTTTTAGGGGCTTCTAGCCTTGTTGCCTGCTCCCTGTGAAAGAACCCTTGCAGGGCCCCAGGCTTTTGATTGCTCTCTGGTGTTCTTCACTCCCTCCTCAGACGGAGCCTAGGAACCAGCACAGTGGCTGTGAGCTTCCTTGAGGCTGCTTGTAGGGATGAGGGTTGCACTTCCCCCCGATCCCTGAGGCTTCCTGGGACTCTCTTGGTAGACAGAGAGATGGGGGTGGGAGAGAAACTGGATTATTCTCACCCTGGCAAACTGTGCCCAGCTCCCCTAACTCCACTGGGCAACTGGCAGGATTGAGCAGGTCTATGTCATAGTAAGGCAGCATCTTTCCATGACGTAGGCTTGGCCCCACCAAAGGATAGTATCCAATTCCAAAGCTGCTGGAAAATGCTGAGCTGGAAAGCCCTGTCCCATGTTTAGGTGGGATTCGGACCAGGGACAGCAATGTTAGTGTTAACTTTTGGGAACAAGATAATGTGGGAATGCTGTGCCCAAGGCTGAGATGTTTTCAGATGGGTGTGCATGTGTACATAAGGTGCTTTAGTTCAGGGGTGGGCAAGTTGTGACCCTTCAGATGTTTGGTCTGTCACTTCTCTCAGCCCTGGCTAGAGTAGCCAGCGGTGAAAGCTGACTAGAATTGTGCCCCTCCATGTGGCTTACAAGTTGCCCTCCCCTGCCCTTCTTTAGACAGTTCCTGTTTCCTTCCATTTGTGATATACTGAAGTAACAAACCAGTTTATTATGAGCAAAATCAGACTGCCCCTCAATGGCTCCTTGGAGGAGCTCTCTGGGGGAAGCAGTTATAAGTTCAGGAGCCAGAGGTGTCTTAAAGAGGACTCCCCTCTGCAACAGTATCCACTGTTTCCGCAGAACAACACTACTTGGAGACACACACACCCCAAACATACTGAGTGTATTGAGGAGTACAGGCAAAAGGAACTGAATGAGCAAAGTAATTGCAGGCCATTTACTGGCTTGGTACACTGACCTCGTTTGCCCAGGTAGCATTCTCCAGATAAGAGGAAAGGCTCGCGGCAGGGTCTGCCCATGTCTCCGCCCTGCATAGCTGTCCCACATGACTGCTCCAGTCTGGAATGCAGGGGCTGCAGCATCATGCCCTTCCGTTGATCACCTCCCCTCTGTCCCACGAGTGGTGTTGGGATGGATGCCATTCCTCTTCTTGATGCAATAAAGCCTGTGCCATGGAACTGTGCTTGTGTCCTGATGCCACACTCCTCCAGCCACCTTCAGTGTTCCTTAATTGTCTAAGATGTTGTGTATTTCCAGTTTATTCTTGTATCAATAGAAATAAATTATTGAACCAGAAGTTTGTCTGCATGCAAAATGTCTGCCTGAACTTCTGCAGTTGGATTCAACTGGCATGGCTGAACGATCCCAAGACTTTCAAGGACAGGAGACTCTCCAAGCTTGTGAATTGCTCTTAGGACTAAAAGCAGTGCCCTCGTATCAGAAGGGGTGCCTGTGAGCCACAACATTTTTATGCCTTTTAGAACAGTCTGGTGCCCTTCAGATGTGTTAGACTACAACTCCAGTCATCCCCAGCCAGCAAAGAATGGCAGTTGTAGTCACCGCATCGGGAGGACACAAGGCTCAGAACTGCACTTCTGCACTGCCCCAAGAACATGCTGGTGCTATTCAATTTAACCAGTAATTTCAAAAAGAACTCCACACAGTGGCCAAGCAACTATGGGAGACCCACAAGTCAGACATGAGGGCCAGAGCACCATCCCAGGGCACACTGCGTCTGACCCTGGCTGCAGTATAGAATTATCCCTGTCGCCACACCCGCCTCTTTGCCATTGAAAATCTCTGCCCTTGAGAGCCAGCTCACCTTTTCCCAAATGGAGCTCCACTGAGTGTTGTCATACTCTGTAATTTTGTACAGATAAGTCCAGAATGACTACCAGCACTTGTCTACTGCAGTTGGTAATGTAGATTAAACACGTGCACACACTTTGTTTGTGTTCAAAATGCCAAACAGTTTAATCAACTGAGCCCGTAACATGTCTGGAGGTTGTTATTTTATTTCACTTCTGTACCACCCTATAGCCAGAGCTCTCTGGGATAGTGAGTGCTTTTAACTGTCAGCTAAATATGTTGTCTTGGAAGCCTTTGCAAAATGTTATCTTTCTAAATGCTACACTTCCACAGAATATTAGGAATGCTGCTCACTCAAAACAGGCCTGTGCAGCCTGATCTTCTGTGGAGTTAGGCACGCCTAAATCAGTTGGAGTAGAATTGTACCCATACATGTCCTTGTCCTGGTTCCTTAATGTTCAGTGCAACCAGTAGTTAGCCATTCAGCAAATTAGTACTGTAAGCATGAGAGCTGGTATAGTAGCTAAGATTGTAAGCCAAGAAATCTTTGGACTCAAATCTTGGCTCTCTTTACAAACTTGCCAGCTGGCCTAGCACAAGCTGGTATGGGCCTATACCTCTTTTCCCTTCTGCAATATGGGGATAACACTAACTTTCCTATATGCAGGCAAAGGCAAGTATCACCTTGTGTTCCACTAGAACCCTGAGATGCAAAATGGTGGCTTGGCACAGGCATTTACCTGCTGAATCCCATGAGCTCAGATGACCTGCATGCACAAATAAAAACATGCAACTAAATTCCTGCCAACTGGGGATTATAGCAATCTGATCTAGACTTTACAATTACCATTGTTGAGCTATTGGGATTTGGATAACCTTCCTGATTAATTGTAGATTACCCAGTGATTTTCTAGTAGATCCCAATTTACCTTCTGGCTATTCTTGCATTATTGGGTAGATGCAAAGATTATGGAGATAATGCATGTGAAGAGTTTGGGATGCTTTTAAGGCTACAATTTATGTGCACTTGGGGTAAACTGCATTTATTACAATGAGATTTACTTCTGAGCAAACCTGCATAGGTCGGGGCTACATGCCTTTCCTTTTAATGGAAATAGTTCCAACTGTATTTGGTGAAACTTGCTCTCAACTAAGCATGCATAGGAATGCAACTTTGGGGGTGGGGGAGGTCAGCTCTTGAATTTGGCACAGAGAGGTAGATGGCTTTTCACCACTCTTCTATGAATGTTGGTAGGCTTACTGAGTTCCATAGGGCTTACTCTAAAGTAAGTGTGCACAAGACTGCAATTTGCATTAGTCTTATTAACAGTGGTGTAGTGGAACCAGGGCTGACAGGGCCATTTGATGGGTAGGAACTTTGATGTCATCAACTGCTCTACCACCACTTTCAGGCTTCCCAGTTCATTCTGAGTTGGCTGTAATCCTTACGGTAGGGGATCAGGAGAATATGGATTTTTATAGCAACAATCTAAAGTCATGAACATCCCTTGGTATTGTACAGCGGCTTGCTCTTAACTGGGCAATTAAGACCCATTCGCTTTACAAAAGCCCCGCTCCTAGCTGATGAAAACTCACACTGCTTTCTTGATATGAAACAACACAGCTGCCTGCATTTCTATTTCCTTTTTGGGGGAGCGGGGGGAGGGACTGCCATGAAGAGCGCCAGCACTTCAACATTTATCGCTACACTGCTAATTCAAGCACATCCCTCAAGAAAACTACGGATCCGCTGGGAGGTGAAGTCCTTCCAGGAAAGGCCAGCGAGCCTTCACGTCCGTCTCGGACTTAGGCACAAGTCTTCACGCCATCTGGGACTTGCTCCCGAGGACTGAGCCGCCCCGTTCCCCGTATCTGGGCGGATGCCGGTCCCACCTCGGCGGAGCCTCCCGGGCGAGGAGGGAAATGCGAGGCGCCGACTGCTTCCCTTCCCTTCCCTTCCCTTCCCCGCGCGGTCGCCCACAACCTTCCTCCGCGCGCAGGCGGCCAGGGCGGGCTCTCTTTCGCGAGCACGTCGAGTTGTTGCTATGGCTATGACCATCATGCCAGCAACAAGCGGCCCCACGTGACGCGCCCGGCGATGGCTGCTTGGCGGGGAGGGAGGCGGCGGCGGCGGCAGTGATCATCGCAGCCTCGAGGAGGAGGAGGCAGAGCGGCACGCTTCTCCGGTCGCGCCAAAGGTGGCCTCTCCTCGGCGCCATCCTCAGCCTCGCGATCCTCATTGTCCCGCTCCCCTGCTCGCCTCCTCCTCCTCCCGCACTGTCCGCCCCCATCTTTCCTCTTGCAGCGTCGCCTTTGTACGCAGCGGCGGCGGCAGCAGGCAGCAGCTTCGATGGATGGAGTGTTCCTGCCAGCCTCGCATGTTCCGCTATGGTGGGTGCCATCCTTGCGGGGATTTCAGGGGGACATACGCACGCACGCACACGACCTAATTGCAAGATCGGGATGGCTTTGCATCACGAGCCTGGGTAGGTCTTGCATCTTGTGTGCGGTCGAGGCGAGGGATGCGGGGCTTTTCTCCAGCCGGCGCCGTCTAGCTTTGACTTGTTAGGAGAGCACTCGCTCTCATTCTTTTTCTCTCATTCTCGTTGTTGTTGTTTTTAAATAGTAGTAATAATAATAAAAATAAAATATGGCGCATTGATCGGACTCCATCTGCATATCCAGGCAGCCGCTAGTCAAAGCAGCAGCAGCAGCAGCAGCTGCAGTCGCGTCTCTTCATTGTGTGTTGTCAGCTGGCTTTGCAGCAGGGGTGTTGCCTAAAGGATCGTGTGTGTTTCGATGGGGGGCGGTTTATGATCACTTGTATGGACAGGGGAATGTTGGTAGGTAAGAATGATACCTTCTCCATTTTTTTAGGGGCGCGCACTCATAAAAATCGGGGGCACTTTACGTAACGCTGTATCCTATTCATCTATCTGTCAGACCTCGGAGAACCGCGGGGGCGAGCAGGCAGGCAGAGGCTTTCTCCCCCCACCCCCACCCCCACCCCGTCCAGGAGGAGGTGTTGATCTGGGGTATAACTGGGTCAGGTCAGGATAATACTTAACATCCCATCTTTTCCCTCATATATACTACCAAGGGAGGGCAGAAGAATATTTCCGCCAGGCACTGTTGCGGGTCTTACGATGATTTAGGGGCCTGAGGGTGGTGGGGTTAAAGGGAAGGAACTCTGAGAAATGGGGAGGCGCATGCCTTGGTGGGTGTGGGGAGATTACAAGGGAATAGCTGTGACCCAGGTTAGGAGCGTGTGGAGAAAGAATGGAGGGTCGAAGCCCTGAATAAAGCTTTATTTTCCAAGCCCCCACCTACCTTCCTCCTTTGTTCCCTATTTGTAGTTGTTATGTCGAGGCAGTAAAGGCTACGGAGCCTCGAGCCTCGTCTTAGATAAATAGCCCCTAGTGAATAGGTCTGCTAATCCGATGGGGCCAAGAGCTTTTGCCCCAGGGTGGTCTTGCAGGGAGAAAACAATCCTGAATTAGTGAACTGGCTAGCTTCAAAACCGTCCCCTCCCCACTCCCCCCCCACCCCAATCTGAAGGAGAGGGAGTAGTCTTGAAAGGGTGCCTCCCCCACAATTGCATCTCTCTTCCCCTCCCCTTTCCATGTTTATGTGCCTTCTTCTGTCACAGTGGGCTAGCTAGGCCTTGCTATCTTTATTGCACAGGTGAGGCCTGTTCAAAAGGAAAGGCCCAGCCTTGCCCAAGGTCACATAGATAAAAAATGTGCAGATTAGCTGGCAGGCAGGACACTTAATGGCATTGTGACAAGAAAAGAGGGGGTATGTGTGTGTGCTATTTCTTTAAAGCAGCACAGCATATCATGAGAAAGACAGTGCCTTCTGAAACTCCCTGTTATCTCCAGTAACAGGAAGAAAAATTGCATCTGAGCTTTAAGTCCTTTGCATTCATGGGCTGTGCCATGTTTGTTGATGGAAAATTATCTTCTCTAACCAGATGCCCTCCAGATGCATTGGACTATAGATCTCAGAATGTC